TTTTTTTTTGAAGCAGAGGACGGCATACGGTACCCTCTTGTAACTGGAGTTCTGACGTGACATCTTCCGATCCAGTCGTATACATACACACGCATACACAGACACACACAGACACACACAGACACACACACACACACACACCTTCCGCTCCTACAGAACAGCGAAGAGCATGAAGACGCGCCAGTGGGCCAGGGGAACGAAGAACTCAGGAACTAAGCGCCTCTATATTCAGTAAGGGCGAGGCGACAAGGGAAGGGGAGCGGCAGCATACGCCAAACTCGCACGCTTTGGAGACCTTTGGACAAAAATGCTGTGAATTGGCTAGATGCCATGTCGGACTGTCCGCTTATGCTTGGCAGCTACGCAGGGAGGGAGGCCTCGTGCTGAGGCCCCTTCTCAAGGTGTCTAGCCGAAATAGGCTTACCCACGCGCTTCTTGCCGCTAGGCATAATTTCGAAGAGTTGTCCATGCATCTTATTTCTGTGAAATTCCCCGCTGTATCGCCTGCCGTCTCTCACGTGGAGTTTCCCCTTGCCCTCCCGTAGACCATCTTGAAAGCCACCTTCATATTTGCTGTACTGCCCACCCGGCCATGTGTACACTCCTGAGCCGTTCATGAGACCCTCCTTCCACGCTCCGTCGTACTTGCACTTGTTCGCCCACACGTAAACGCCCTTGCCTGTGGAATGTGCATCATATGCAACACTTGCGGTGCATGCACCACCGCTACCCTCGGGCACCCCTTCAGGCTGTAGACTCCAGCACGCAATTGCTAAAGAGGCCACGGCTGCAGGGTATAATGTACCATCAATCAAATCGGCCTTAAAACTGCCTTCATACGTAGAACCGTCCGGGAAACGAATTTTGCCCCTGCCGACCTTGTCACCGTTTCTGCAGCGCCCAATTGAGGCAACACACGTACACAATTCAGCCTATGGGGACTAAGATTTCTAGAGGTGGAAGCGAACATTGAAAATACATTGCTGTTGGTTTGACGCCCTTTCCACCTCTTCAAGCCATGGCTTGCATTCCACAGGCTCGGCTGTCTTAGAGCGAGCCACCCGCCTGTACGCTCGCGAGTATGGATCTGCAAGAAAGACCCACTTGAATTCTCCCTCAAATACGGTACCGTCCGACCAGGTCTCTACTCCCCTGCCATTCTTGATGTCCATCTTGAATTCGCCAACGTAGCTGCGCGCACACCTCAAGGACATGGATACACGTATTTGTAGCACTCCCGATGCCACTTGCGAGCCTCTGCTATGCACTCTAACAGAGGCACAGCTGCATAGAACAGTGCTGCTGCGTTGGATAAGGGGCCCATCCAGTTATCCCCCCCGTTCGGGCGATGTATTTATGATCCTCGACCATTTGTTGCACGCAAGCTTCGCCTTCCACTCTGCTACCGCATCGCCCTTTTGCCCCTGTGCCCTCTCCTTCCTGCCCTAGTCCCCGTCGCTCTGTGCACCGTGTTCTGAAAAACCATTTCCCCCCGTTCTCTCAGCGCCTCAAGCTCCCTTTATGTGGCGCTTTGCCTTTTGGCTGTCCCCCGGTCAAGCAAAACTACCCTCCCCCCTCTACCTTCCTGCGAGAGCCCGTGATACGCCCTTGGCAAGCCTTATGCAGGGAGAGTGCTGATCCTCACGAAGACCCGTCTTCGTTTGTGAGTTTGCCTTTCCCATCCCCTTTTCCATCCTTCCAGTGCCCTTCGTATCGCTCGCCTGCAGGGGATTCCCAGATACCCTGCCCCTCGAGCTTCCCGTTGACAAACTGCCCTGTGTATGTCGATCCATCGGAAGCTTTTAGCGTCCCATGGCCGTCAATCGCGGATCCCTACGCACCCCAGACACCCGCGAAGCACACAGCAAAACCGTCCTCTACTAGCTTAAGAATACGTGTCTTATTGCCTCTTCCAGCACATAGGTCCCATGATACAAATAAACGGCAATTCCGCCTTTTTTGGCTGTGCGCGCACACGCGGTGAAGGGACGAAAGCACTCCATGGCACTGGCGTAGAAGGTCAAGAGAGTGAAGTAGGCATCTGTGAGAGGTTTCGCTATCAGGAGCAGCTTATTTTAAAGAGGGGCATAGGTTGAGTAGAGTGTGACCTTCCATGTGCCTGCGTAGGTCATGCCACCGCTGAGCTTCACTTCGTCCCTTTTCACTCTCCCGCTGCCGCAGGGCTCCCCCGGAATCTCTTGCAGGTTGTCTGGGGGGGTTCCAACCTTCATAATGCCACCTTCTCTGCCTGCCGGGGGGGGCGTACAGACTGTCCCTACGACAATGGGGGCATCAACTTCTGCGGTAGATAGCTGAGGGGCGGCGGATCCGCCAAGGGCGCATGCTTCGTTAGGCCGCATCTTGCCAGCCGGTTGAGCTGTAGCGACACTTTGCAGCACCACCTCGGGCAGAGGGTCACCTTGAGTGCCCCCACCAGTCCCTGGAGGACCGTTACGATGGCCAGCGGTCGCGACGGAAGCCCCCTGTGGGGAAGCCGCGGATGACTGTGTGCAACCCATCTTTTGGCTACGGCAGGCTGAGGTGACCCTGTCCAAAGATGCATGAAAATGCAGACATTCGGGACCCGACAAACTCACTCTACAGACCTTCTGTTGAGCGTGAACGGTAACAGTTGCTGCCTGTGTACGGAAGAAGGCCCTTCGGAAAAGATGGCGGAAGCAGCCAAGGGACAGCACGGCAGCAACAGAGGCAAGAAAGGGATAATCAAGGGGAAAAGACAGCACGTTTCTTTTCTTCAGTTAAACAGTGGGCGTAACTGTTGCCAATGTGGCTTCCAAGATCCCAAGGGCTTATGTGGACTAGATTGACGGAATGGAGTGTCGGTGCCTTCTGAGGCTGAGGGAGAGAAGAGCACATGAGGGTAGCACGCTGAGGACGAGCAAAAGAGACACCAACGAGTTTGATGTAGCAGACAATGTCTTTTGGTTTGAGTCGTTACGGCAGCAGTTGGTGCCGTTAGAAAACTTGAAGCCTTGTGGCAAGGCAGCCTGCAGGGGTAGCGGCTGCAGCAACCACAACGATAACGGCGGCAGAGAACGCTAATTATCGGATTTAAATGGCTGAAAATTTACTAGGGGTGTACGTCTTCACTGCTTTCTAAGTCACCAAGCCCACAAGGCATCTGCGCACTGCAGCTGTTGGCGATTCAAGACCGAGGCCGAGCTTACCTCGAACCACCACTAGCACTGTGTCGTGGCGCTGCTTTGCTAGGAAGAAACCCAAAGGTATAAGCAAGGACAACAGCTGCACCTAGTACATTTTCGCACCCAGAACTTAAATACTTAAGTCACTTGTTTTGCTGTAACTGCCGAGAATATGGCTGCAAAGGACGGTCAGCGTACTGCTGGGTCCTGCTGGCGCACACACCACGCCTGGTGCCAGCATGGTCGTATGCACGTCTGACCCCCTGAGGCACTTTGCATGTTATTTGACCACAAAATTCCCCTCGACTATGCTTTTCACACCAGTCTACTACTGCTCATTCTTGAGAAGGCAGGAAACGGCAATTGTTAACGGCGAAGCCGGACGAGCGTGTCTGCTGCTTGGCACCAGCCACTGGGTCAACGACGGAGCACACCCGACGAAGTGCAGGAGACTTCTATTGGACCCTCCTAATATTGTAGGAAACAGTTTTTACCTGTGCTTCTCTTTCCCCTTTGTGTGTGTTCCACTGAAACCCGCACGATCCACAGCAGCGTGTGTCAGTGTCGGAATTTTGACGAGTGGGCAGTTACACGTGCAGACAAGCCGATCTACATGTTTTGTAAATGCTGCCTTCCTTGCTGCTGTAGCAGCTATATAAGACGACATTGTTTTTCATACACTGCGCGAAAACCCTCCTGCACAGCACGGCCGTCCATTATGCACAGTAGAGTGGCCTGACCATCCTCGCCATCAGTGTGGCGACCTGTCGGTATCCCGAGCACGCAAGGGGCCGGGCATGTCTCACGTCTTCTTTCGGCATTAACATAGACCTTTGTTCAGTTGCTTTGCACAGCAGCTGCTGCCTTCCTTGCTGCTGTGGTTGCTTGTGTCTCTAGTGCTACTGCTCCTGCAACTGCTGCTGCTGCGCTGTAGCGCGTTTGCCACGATGGACGGAGGCCACCCGGTCATGACGACCTCCACGGGGGCCCCCGTGGGAGACAACCAAAACTCTCAGACAGCTGGGCCGTATGGTCCTGTGGTACGTCCTCCCCCCTTTCTCTCGAAAACGGAACGCGAGACTGTAGGATCTCTGGGGGGTAATCGTTAAGCGAGCTTAAGGCAATTGAGTGGAGGGTTCCTGTCCGTTCAGGTCATCACAGACTTCCATCTTCTGGACAAGCTAGCGCATTTCGATCGCGAGCGCATCCCAGTACGGCTTCAGCTAGGCACTCCCCTGTGGTGTATGAAAAGCCTTTTCGATGGCCTCCAGGGTGGCCCAACGTTTTTCACATTAGATGATGGGTCGTTCATGGCGGGCAGTGTCAACAGCTTCATGTGCAGCGAATGTGGTGTTTTGTTAGTGGTGCCTGTGATGATCTACTGGTTAATTAAGGAGACTGGAACATGGCGTCAAGGAGGGCGGGTGTGCCTAGGATTGAATGTGCTCGATTGTTGGAGAAGCTAGCCATTCTTTTCCACTAGAGCCAGCACACGCTAACATTTCAGAGCGGGAACTCTGCGTGTTTACAGGAACGCGTAGTGCATGCAAAAGGAGCCGGGGCTCATGGATACTTCGAAGTCACCCACGACATAACGAAGTCTGCCTTCCACACCTACAGTTCATGTTGCTTAGTGTGTATGTCCAGTGTTTGGAGCTTCTCAACCAATGTTTGTAATTATGGTCTGCATGTTTGTTCTAAATGCGCTTCGATGATGCTTCTACTGCCCCATTTCCAAGAGAGCTCTGCTAGGGGCCATTTCTGACTCTCTCTCGCATCCTTTCTTCCACCTGTTGCCTGATCTTCAACGACTGAATGGCGTATATATATATATTGACAGATACCTCTTTGTGGCCGCGTCTTCAGGTGTGCCCATCTGCCACCAGCTACATGTATGACGTTGCGTAACTGTAGCCTCTAGGGAGCTCGTCTCCGATCCTCTATTCTAACGTCGCTTGGCTAGGCCTTGTCAGCTTTCTGTTCGCTTGCTTGCTTCCACATTTGCCTTGGCCTGCTTCCTTTTCTGCTGGCGTCACTCCACTTCATAGAAATCAGACTCCTGTCTGGCTGCCTGCAGGTACTGCAAGGCAAGGTTGTTCTCTTCCATGGGCAAGCGAACACCGGTGTTTGTTCGCTTCTCTACCGTCGGGGGAGAGAAGGGCAGTGCCGATACTGCACGAGATCCTAGGGGCTTCGCGATCAAGCTGTACACGGAGGACGGCAACTGGGATTTGGTAGCCAACAATACCCCCGTTTTCTTCGTCAGAGATCCTCTGAAGTTTCCCGATTTTATCCACACACAAAAAAGACACCCCCAGACAAATTTGCCGGATGCCGACATGTTTTGGGATTTCCTTTCTCTCTCGCCGGAGTCCATTCACCAAGTTACGATCCTCTTTTCTGACAGAGGAACACCCGATGGCTATAGGCACATGAACGGCTACTCGAGCCATTCCTTCAAGACCGTGAACGCGTAAGTTGATGGGGGTCGAAAGGCCGACGGCTTCAACAACATGGAGGGAGACGCATGTCTACCTCCTCTTCTTCTCACGTTCGCTTGATTTCAAATCTAGGGGCTCTTTAGGGAAAACCTCCTTCGTGGCAAAAAGTACTGAAACGCATGGTAGGAAATTACTTGTTTTGAGTCAAGGCGATCGGACTAGCCGTGGACATGCATACATGCAAATACAGGCTATGGCTTTGATTTGCCCGTCCTTTGCACAGGTTGCCACACGTATACCTTACCATTTCATGCATACATGTACAAGGCGTCTGGATAGATGTGCGAAAATGTGTGGGTCTATAAATATCTGCCAAAGCATGCCGGGTGTATGTGTTCATTCAATTTTGCGTAGCCTGTTTGTTTCAGCTGGTACTGTTTCGTCTTTTACCGGTTTCCTGGGCTCGCATACTTTTGTATATGCGCATTTCATCACGCACTTTCAAGTTCATCATTTTTTGCTTGCGAACTCGTGGCGCTGCAGTGCCGGCGAGGTCTTTTACGTCAAGTTCCATTTGAAGACAAATCAAGGCATCAAGAATCTTACAGCCAAGAGGGCTCACCAGCTGGCCTCTACAGATCCTGATTATGCTACCCGCGATCTGTTCAACTTCATTGACGCGGGAAACTATCCTTCGTGGACTCTATGTGTCCAGGTTAGGCAGGCTGACGACTCCCCCCCTTTGCCGCATCGCAGCTGGGAGCCGGCCTTAGCGGGATGCCACTGTATCTCCGCTAACCCCGTATTGTCGTATCAATGTGTCTTGCGTTCGCCTCTTGCGCGTATGTTTATCGCTTCTTCTACCTCATCCTGCCACCCTTCATAATACAGCATTTCCGACTTTGTGCACCCGTTTGTCTGCTCGTGTGGTGCTATTAGTTGTGGTGCTGTTAGTTTCGGGAGTCGCCTTGTGCTTTTCTCTCCAGTCTCCGCATGGCCTCCCCCTGCCAGCCGTATCTAGCAGCCGTCGGCGCGTCTGTTACTCTGATTCTATGTGCATCTACACGGATCCGTCGATGTGCGTCTGTGTATATGTGTATGCATATGTGTATGCATATGTGTGTGTGTATGTGTGTGTGTGTGTGTGCATGGCTGGTGTCCTCTGTCTCCAGGTGATGCCCGTCAAGGCTGCCGAGTCGTACAGGTACAACGTGTTGGACGTGACTAAGGTGTGGCCTCATCATGACTATCCCCTGCAGCCCGTGGGAAGGCTGGTGCTCGACAGAAACCCAAGCAATTACTTCCAGGAGGTTGAGCAGGCCGCCTTCTCCCCAGGGCATCTCGTTCCAGGCATTGAAGCGTCTGAAGATAAAATGCTGCAGGGGCGACTCTTCTCGTATCCTGACACCCACAGGCACCGACTGGGAGGTACGCTTTCGCTGCATTGCAAGGCAAACACGCACAACTTAGACGCATCAAGGCCGGAAAGTGTATCTGAAGCGGCGGCTTATGAGAATGCAGAAGCGCATGATATGTGCACCTGCATTCTAAAGCACACCGTTTGTCCTCCTCTTTGTTTCATGACGCGCTCGATTCTGCAAGGCCCGACGCGTTTGCTTGCTCGGGATTATTAAGGTCTTTTTTTTGCCTTTTGGGTTTTCTTTTCCCGCGGATCCTGTGTGCTTGGGGATGGGTGCCTCTGTCAGTCGTTGTGCCTTCGCCGCTTTCTCTCGGATGATGTCACGGGGGGTGGGGTGGGGGAGGGGCTCAATCCATATGTGCCCCTACGTTTTTTCCCGCCTGCTTTCCACATCTCTGATATACGTGTGTGTGTGCATGTGTGTGTATACGCATATGTATGTGCATACATATATATGTATATATATGTGTATGAGTGTATGTATACACATGTGTGTATGGGTGTATGTATGTGTGTGTGAGTTTGTGAGTTTGTTTTGTGTGTGTGTGTCTTTGTGTGTATGTGCAGCGAATTACGACCAGATCCCCGTGAACGTTCCCCGTATGTGCCCTTTCCTACAGGCTTTGCACATCAGGGACGGCCCGATGTGCGTCAGTGGAAACTATGGAGGCGCTCCTAACTACGAGCCAAACAGCATCCGCGGTGCTCCAAAAGAAAACCCCCAAGCGAGACCTTCAGCGACGCCCCTCTCTGGCGTGGTGGCACATCATCCCCAGAACCATCCTAATGACGTGAGGCAAATTCTCACAATGCATTTAGAGACGGGCTAAGAGAGGTCCCAAAGCTCAAGCTTGTAGTACCGCTTTCTGGAGCAGGTAGTGGTGCGCCTGTGTGAAGAATATGTCCTCTGCCTTTCGGTCCGAATGTTTGAGTACTTGAATATGCATCATGTGAAAGCTCAGGTGAATAAATACGAGTGTAGATGCGTGCGTATACGCGCGCGTGTATGTATTCCCTTGTTCGCTTGCTTTTGCTTTTGATTACGCCTCCCTCTTCCCCCCGTTCCCCTCCCCCCCTTCCTGCACCTTTTCTTTCTGATGCTCCTTCTTATTTCTTCGTGGAGAGCTAGAGATCAATGCGTTTTCAAAGCCTTCTTGCATGCATCTAGCGTCTCCCATCTGCCGCTCGCTTTCCTGCCCCTCCTCCTACTGCCTCCCCCTCCCGTGTGCGCACTCACACCTTGGTCTATTTCCCATGCCAGCTGTATGCCTCCTTCAGAGAAGGCCTTCTTTTCTGCAGCTTTTTGTGCATTTGTTGCTGTAAAGGATTTTGAGCAAGCAGGGGCACTCTACAGGAAAGTGATGTGCCCTGCTGATCGCGATGCCCTCATCTCCAACATTGCTGGCCACTTGAAAAATGCACGGAAAGAAGTAAGACAGATGAACATTTATCCTTTTTGCCTTACTCAAAAAGCCTCGGCAGCGCTCTTCTTTGCGTTCTTCTGTGCGGCAAACAATTTCTCACCACTGTGTTGGGCTCCCCGGTGGTGTTCTATCGTCTGGTCTCATATTTCAACCCTCACCTGTGCTTGCCGGTTCAGTGAAGTCTGTTCGCAGTCTGTCTACTCACCTTACTCATTGCCTTCCCCTCTCTTCAAATCCTGTCTCTTTGTCGTGTGGGCTTCTTACTTACGTCCTCTACCACAAGGCTCATATTGACTCAGGGAAGAACAGCCCGCAACGCCAGGGGACACTCCACCGAAATTCAGCGCATACGGGAAGGGGGTATGCTTGCTGACCTGCTAGTATTGTTGTTGCTGCAGATTCAGGAGAGGCAAGTAAAGCTTTTCGCAAGGGCAGATAGGGAGTACGGTGCGCGGGTAGCTCACGCCCTCGGACTGCCAGACTCGGTGTGCGACTCGGCGAGGATGTAGATTCAGAGCACCTTCGAGGCTACAGAGGCGGTGCCAAGGGCCGCCTGCCTCCTTCAGTACAGTAATGGTATTTCTGTAAAATAGCTTGGCAGCTAAAAGTGCCCCGCAGCATTGTGTTCGAGGGGCTCTAAAAAGACTGTGTGGAGTAGACAGACCCGTAGGGAGCAAAGAAAGCGTCCTCGAAACACATGCCCTCGCAACGCAGCACAGTGTATTTATTCGTAAGCTTATTCGAGGTCGGAGACTGATCCGGCTCGGTGATAGGCTGCCTCCAGGATGTTTTGGGGGTAGCCCGTACGAACCAGTTTTTCTAGGGTCGACTCTGGCGCTGTACAGTGGCAGCGCTGATTGCCTGTGATTCCGCGTGTGGCTCCTGCCATCTACGCTACCTAATAGATGCCGCGAGAGGCTGCAGTTTTCAAGGCTGTTTGTAACGATGTTCGTGGCTGAGACTTCTTGAGCCCCCATGTAAAGGACTTGGGCGTTCTCCGGGCCTTATTCGCGGTTTTACTTCCGACGTTGGAAGATCGTAGGGGAGGGCTGTACATGTGCAAGTATAGTTTCTCTTGCTTTTGGCTGGAATACAGAGCAGATGTAATCAGTTCTCTTCGCTCCTTAACGGTTTGTTTAGGCTGGTGGCCGCTGAAGTTTAGGGTCCGGTGTTGCAGCTTTGGGTGTGTATATAGAGGACTGTTGTAGCTGCCTCAGAGCTATTAGCCTGCGTAAACGCAAAAGGCTCCCGCTTCCTTTACGGTTTGCGACAAGGGCGCGGCACTGTGATGGTGTCCCTTGCCGCTCAGGCGGTTCTCTTTTTTGGTGTGGGGTTGTCTTTAGGGTTTCCTGGGGAATCTAATAACTGGGGGCAGAGACACCACGCCTCTGTGCAGCCTCCTCATTCTGTGTCATCTTTGCGTTAATCAATTGGCTACGCGCACACGCAGCCGAAAGGATTACCCGTGCTGTTTGTTGGCCTTCAACGCCATTGAGAATGCCGTAAAGTTCTTTGCGAGCGTTCCTTGCTTAATGAAAATCATGGTAGCCTTGGGATGTTTTGGCTTTCTTATTTCAGTGTGCAAGGAAACAAAAGATGTCCGTGCCGGCAGCATATCGCATGGGAAAAGAGCCACTCATGATGCTTGTGTCCATTTCTCGGATTTTCTGAGTATAGCTGTTGCATTACCTGCAAATCAGCCCGATTTCTGCTGTGATACTGTGCTTGCCCTTGGCGCTCTTGGGCAGCAGCAGCTCGAGGGTCACCTCAGCCACACCTCCGGGTCTCTCATTGCTGCTTCCGCCACTTTCCAGCAAAACAGGCGATCCCTTCCATTTGCAAACTTGTATTAAATGCCCAGAGTTAAATTCCTTTTAAGGATCTTTCAAGGTAGGGCTCTCAAACGCACACAGTACGCTTTCCGTGAGAACACTTGGGGACCCCTGGAGCTCGGGGGTGCCTAACCTGCAGTCACCATCTGCATCTGTCGAACCGAACGCTCATCAGACATGGAGGTCCCTGTAAAGGCCGTTGCAGAGTCGTCGCAGCGCCTGATAGTGCCCTGCTGCTGCGCTCCTCAGCAGCACCAGCCTCAGTCGACAGGGCCTCTCCCCGCTGCGGGATTAACAGATTGGGATGCTCTGTTGGATCAGGTACAGTCGGCTTTCAGCCGCGGTAACACGGAGAGACACGCGGGTAGTCTCCGTCGCATTTGCCGGCGCTATGGAAGCGGCGGCATTCCCTACGCCGAATGGGGGCCTGTGGCCCGCTTGGCTGAGGTGTACCTACAGCTAGCTATGAAGGGAGACGCCCAGATAGCAAGTGCCCTTGCTAGCCTTTGCAAGAAAGCAGCGAAGGGCCCTCAATCGAGGGCCACTACCGATGCCACATTGCATGCATCAGACGCAGCAAAGCTCGTCGAAGTCTTCTCCAGAGTCCTTGTGGGTATGAGGACAACGGAACCAGCGTCGGTAAAAGAAACAAGTGCCTCTGAGACCCCTGCTGCTGCTTCCAACTCTACTGTGGCAGGTCTAGGGAATAGTGCAGGCGTCGAGGAGTCCGAGCAGTCCTGTGGGAGCCCGTGCGTCCTTAAAACACCTCAGAAACGGCCTTTAGAGGGGGAGAATTGGGGTTCATGTGGGTCACTCGTGGTTCAATGCCCGGCTTCGGCAACAGAGACACCTGGAGCTGCATCAATTGCACCCATGTTAAGAAGGGCTGCCAAAGGCAACAGCAAGAACACCAGCACTTTCGCTGCTCTCCGCCATGCAGTCATTGAGCTCATGGAAGCAACAGCGATAGAACTATCAAAGCTTGTATTCCGTCACCAGTAAGCGAATAAACAATGCTGCGATGTTAATTTTGCTGCTATTGCACTAGAAGTCCAACTACGGTATTTCCTATCCCCACACACCTGTACGTTGAGAGTTCCTCTTGTGAGTAGCGGCCGTGCCTCCCTTACCTCCTCAGGCCGCTCAGGGATGCAGGGGTGGCAGTAGCAACATCAAGCAAACAGCACGAGCACCTCTGCAGCTCCGGAGAGGTCACTCTGAAGATGGCCCTGGACAACGTAATAAGGGCCTTAAAGGAACACAACGAAACACAATGGGGCAACCTAGAAGTAGAGGAGGAGTTCGCGCTGCTGCGAGTGCTGCAAAAATATGCCAGAGAGCCACAGGTGGCAGCGCACCTCTGTTGCTGCAGAACACTAAACGGTCTCCTATCTAAGTGTGTTGCTAGCTTGCGCGAGATGGCTAATGCCGATTGTGAAGCACAAGAAGGTAGCTCAAATACACAGGAGCAGGCAGAGCCCTCCGGAGAACCGGAGGCAGATGCTGCAGTAGTTGAGTTACGGCAAGCAGGGCCAGCGGCAGCACAAGGAACTACGGCAGCACCACCACCTCGAAGCTCCTCAGCGACCCACTGGACACGCCAGGAGTTACTGTTGCAGCTGCTACTCCAGATTCTTCAGGCTTATCCTGCGAGCCTTCATGAGGATCCGTGGGAAGCCCGCGAGCTGCTTGCAAAACTCTCTTTCTGGTTACATCAAGTGCTGTCTCCTAAGGCTTCCTTCCGAAAGAAACAAGTGCGAAATGACCTAATATGTGTACTACTCTTGATAGCGCGCCAGCCCAGGCTGCTTCCCCTTCTAACACCCAGCGGGGCTCTGTGCCAGATGTTGCGGTTCTTGACGTGTGGTTCTGCCTTGAACAAAAACGATACCGGTTCTGCTTCTTCTACCACGGCCCTGGCAGCCAAGTCACAAGCTCTAGACACAGGATGCAGCGGCAACAGCAGCTCCATTACCAGCCGCCAGAAAGATCTGGCATCGCCGGAGGACGTGGAGCTGCTGCAGCTGCTGTGGCTGTGCGTCTGCCAATGCATGGTGCATCCCTCTTGCTGCGCGAGGGCCCTCCACTTCAGTACAATAGAGGCACTACTGGCCTTTGCGGACTACGGAGATCCCCGAAGGCAGGATCTGCTAGCTTTTGCTCCCTGGCGCTTTTCCGGTGAAGTCTCCATTAGAAATGCTAGCACTGTGTTGCGCAACTCAAGCAGTGACTCGTTTAAAATCGTGCTTTCACTGGATACTGCCCCAGCGCTGCAAGAACAAGACTAGCACTGACGACCGTTCTAGGAGTACAGCCGCCAGTATAAGGACCTTAGCTCTTCTTGCACTTCTAGTCTGGTGCACAGGGTGTTGGCTTGTTTCTGCAGAGTGCCAGCTTAGAACACTTGGAGCCGCAGCAGTGAATTGCCTGGGAACCTTAGCGGTAGTGTGTCCTGCTAGCGTTGTTGCTGCTGGAGGTCCAACTGGCTTGCTGCGGATTGCGGTGTCGGCTGCGGCAGCAGGGGATGCTGACAAATGTGGCAGTGCTCTGAGGCAAAGTGTGGCCCTCCTAAGACCTCGTGGTGTTGCAGCACCCGGGGAAGCAGGAGCCAACGTTGAAGCGCCAACAAAGCAGCATCCTGTCGTCCTAGGAGGGAGACAAGTATGTGCAGTGGCCCGCAGGGCATTCCTAGAGGCCAAAGCACTAGAACAACTTCTACAACTGCTTGAAGCCCTCATGAAACAACAGCAGGAACTAGGCGCGATGGCATTTGAGGAGTTCGGCAGGCCCGGTGTTTCTCTGGAGGATTGCAGCAACTTCGGGGACCCCTGTAGTCTCACATCCTCAGATGTATGCACACCCATGGCAGCCTGCTGCTGCGTTGCGTGGCTGCTGCTAGCTCTGCTGTGTGCAGGTGATGCGGCAGCAGCTTCAGCAGTTGCTGCTGCCGACGGGCTTTCCCGTTTCTCCCGCTGGCTACGGCAGGGCATTCCCTCAGAGCCCCCCACTGCTATTCCGCTGTTTGTCTCTACAGCAGCAGATGGACTCCGGGCACTCGCGCTTAGCAGCAAAAAAACTATCGAGGCCTTTGTTGCTGCGGGGGGCACTGAGGCCCTTGTTAGCGCGTTAGAAAGGGTCCCCCGCAAGCACATCCAGCCAGTGAGCTTCGCCCTAGGTCCTAGCTAGGCGTTCTGCAAGCCAGACGCAACGAGCCTCCCCAGCACACAAATCACAGTATACACAGTTGCTGCAGCACCCGCCCGCATTATACGCTAGGTCTGACGGAGCCTACCTCCCCCAGCCAGGCAGGTAGCTACAAAACCACTAGTGACAGCTCCAGCAGAGAAGGAAAGACGATACCATGCCACGTGAACCTCAACGCAAAGGCCGGCACGACATGGAGAGGGTGGCCCCTTCATGCGCAACCCGACCTTTTGCAATGCTGTGTGGGGGCCGCCTGCAGCTGTTAGCAGCACTCACTGACGCACTCGGAGTGCCCATTGTCGCCGATGCGCTCCGGTCCTGGAAGGGTGTGCTGCAAGTTGACGGGAAGCAACAGACTCTCCATCAGTTGCTGCTGCAGATGTGGCTTGGTGAGCAACAGCGTTTCCAGTGCCTCTCTCCTGGGGGTGAGATCGCCGACCCGGCACGTCCAATGCGCCTCCGCTGTTTCGAAGAACCGCATCCTTGGCAGGAGGCAGTTGACATCAAGAAGCTTTGTAGCACTGCAGGTAAGAGGCTGCGAGACAGAGAGGCACCCACATAAGACAAGGCCCTTGACTGTGACACCGCCGGCGAGATGGTGCACCCGGTCATCGAGTTGGCCCCCTGTAAAACTAGGATGCCTATGCTCCTTCAGGGTGCCAGCAGACATCGACCCTTTAGTATGGCAAAGACTCTTCCCTAGCCTGTGGCCTCTCAAAGGTATACTGTGTATGCAGGTAACGGCTGCTGCGGTAAAACTGAAACAAACGGGGATGCGCTCGTAGCCCCTTGGGCACGCCAGCTGCCTAATGCACTTTCGGATCTCATGAAAGCCGCTGCTGAACCGCACGATGTGAGTATGATCCCCTTCAGGTACCACATACAAAAGGGCTCACACTATGGCTTCTCGGATAACCATTCAGGGACCCCAAAAAAGACTTCAGTAAATATGTTTCCAATGCCCTTTTTTCTCACAATAGGCGTGACGCGATAGGTACACTGTGAATGCTGCTGCTGTGACGTGAAACTAAGGGTGAAGGAGCACGGGGGAATTGTGGAGTTCGTGGCTTTCTCATGCCTTTCCGCTATCTGTTAGGATCTGCGGTTTGAGCTGTACACGGCGCTTCAGCAACTCTCAGCTGGCTGTGACGCCTCTCCAACTGAGCTGACCGTAGCGGAGGCACAGCAGCAGCTTCTCTTGAACGCAGGGGAGGTGCTGTGGCGCCTTGAGGCCCTAACGGAAACAAAAACCGCCCTGGCAGGTTGGCAGCTGCACAGCCTCCTTTTAGCCAGGCACTTATTACTACTCCACCATACCTAATGCCTAGCCTTTGCATAGAAAGTAAAATACATCGACTAGCGCCTCTTCCTGAAATGAAACGTTGCTCCCGCTAATACTGCCCGAACTGGTTCTGTTAAGGCGACTCTTAATACGTACATGGTCATGCCCCTACCTTCGCTTCCGCCAAGTAGTGCACACCAGTCAGAAAAAAGGTTTTGCCACTCGAGCAAAGGGCCCACCAGGAAGAAGCACCTCAGGGCACTGTGGGTGTTTTAGTGACATAAAGGCATCTGAAACAGGGCAATGCGCTCACTCTGGACAGTCATGTACTAAAAGAACTTTCCAGCCCAGACACACAGCGGATGACAGACTCAGCACAAACGCCATTTTGCACACGTTTTATGCATGTAGTTTCTTGAAGCCAATGCTGTTCTTGTTTCTCGTGATTTTACAGCAGCGGGTCTCGAACCCCTTCCTGCAGATGCAGAGTGGCTACGTGTCTCTTGGGAAAAAGCTTTCGGACGGTCCATCGAGGTACGAGATAGGCAAAGGCAACTCGCCTTTGAGCATCAGGCTAAGGAGGCAGCGGAGGTCGACGAGACAATGCAGCAACTCTCTGACGAGAGGCAACATGCAAGGAACAGGCGTAGAAAGGCGCTCGGCTTAAGCATCCCTTGGGCAGCACGAAGGGGCACTAAGAGTGACACAGGGTCCGCCAAATAGCTGGAGGTTCCCCCTGCGATTGACAAAAAAAGGAAATTACAAATTTTTTGAAGACATTAAGAGAAGCCCCCATGGGGCACCAGATAAAAGAGCGGTCATTGTACCCCGGCCGTTACAGAGGTACTAGGAATGGCGACGGCCGCCGACGTAGTAATCTGCAATGCGGTCAGCACGAGGCCTCCCTGGAAAGGGACGCGCAGGGTGCTTGAAGGCCCCTTTTGATGCTACTGCACAGCACTTCGGCGGATAATGCTGGCTGGCCTCATGCGGGGATCTCCCTTCAGATACACGGCAATCACATCTCCGTGTACTCTTGGTTTAGAGATGCAGTCCAAAGGTCTCTGTGCTCGCTAGGTGGAACGTTCACCTCCTCGTAGAAGCTTGTCCAACCTGTTTTGGATGATCCTCAGACTTTTTCTGTTATTCCTGTCCAGTCTGTTCTACCCGCACTTCTGCACTCGTCATTCCCGCCTGGTCAGAATGCGTCCATCCACTTTGTTGTACGCTTCTGCCACTGTTTTGCTTGGTGTAGCCCCAGAAAAATAGAAGGATCCTCCTTCACTGCAGCACGATTCCTCATGCTCGAGTAATCTCCAGGCGAAAGGGCACAGCAGAAATACAGTACATAGAACACAAGAATGGCGGCGATCAGCACCTACGAGGGCTACTTTTGCACAGGCTTCCAAGTTGCGAGCAGCAGCTCTAATAGCGGAGACTCATTATAATGCTTGGAAAAGATTATGCCGTATTCAACTCCAGTACTCCAGGTCTAACGGTATCTAACACCTTCGCGTCCACTGACAGGAGCAAAAGCGAAGAAGATATATTCGACGAAGCGGAGCTTTCCTGCACTACGTGTATCCTCATGAACCAAAGAGGCTGACTCCTAGGCTCTGGATACCACGGATCCGTTCAAGACGCAGCATTGATATTGGCGAGTGCTGCGTCCGTCTGGCATAATACAGCATCGAAACAAGCCTTACCACAGCTGCTGCTCGCTCTTGCGCAGCTCTCACATAGTCTCCAGTCAAAAGCACACGGGCTCGGGGTCCCACTACACAGGTGAACCCCATGGTTTAGGCTCCAGCCAGGGAAGTGACATGCACACTTCACGCCTAAACTGCTCCCATTTCACTGCCCGCGGTGTAGTGCTAGGGAGAACAATGATAGACTGATGATTCCTTTGTAGGACAAAGGATACTCAACTCCTGAAATGAAAGGGAAGGAAACGATAAAGAATAAAGATGCTCCAGTTACATACACGACGACTCCTAACACGAGGCACACTGAACCCAATTACAGGGGGCCGAACAACTGCCGTGAAGTCGGGAGACTTGTCAGTACTTCGAAAAATGTGCGGGGGCGTCACTGCTTAGTCTTTGTTATTCCCTTGTAATCAGTGGCTCTTGATATTGTGAATGCGTTAAATTTGACTTATCCTTGCACTCAAACTGTCAGCACGCCAGTAGCTTAGGTGAAGCAAGCGGCCTTGCCTACTGCGGTATGGCTTTTCTTCATGTTCAAAAATATACATACGGGCTTGAACATCACCTGCATCCTTAGCCAGCTATGATGACGCATCCTTAGTACTCTAGACTCTCGTGGCAATGAGGAAGTATGCAGATGGGTGGTGCCTATGTTGGACACAAGAACTAAAGAAGGACCCATGACAGGCTCCAAAGCCTTACAAGCAGTGGATACCGGTGCTTTGCTAAGCATTTCTAGATGGCTGAGTTGGCCCGTATCTCATACTGGGCTGCTGTGTAGTATTAGCGAGCTACGCTACACGTAGACACCTCCAATACACGCTATATTTGAGATACGAATCGGTTATGTATTAGCTAATTAATCTGTCAGTCTGCATACTCATTTACCGCAGTGGCATGTCAGTTAGCTGTGACAAGCCGCAGCGTTGTGTACATCTGCGCTAAGAGCAATGTTTAAATTACTGTGAATACCCGCAGTGCTGTAAGGGTGCAGCTACGCGCACCCTAGCTGTACGTCATTCCTCATGTTAAAAATTCTACGTAGGGGTAGAAAAATGGTAGGAGTTCTTTTGAACTTCCTCGGTATTTTCCATTCCGTGCGTATGGAGCCAGGCGTTGAACAACTTCCTGCGCTGACCTTAGGTGAAGCGCTACCGCTGGTAGTACCGTATGCTTCTACGCAGCCATTAAGCATTGCAACCGCTGTTGTGTGTGACTATTCATGAATCTATTGAAGTCGGGTGTATCTCACGTGTCTTTGCAGCCACACATCCGCTATTACTGCCAACATCCCGAATGCCAAACGGGTGAAGCTTTGACAAGGATGACTTGCTGTGGCTTAAAGCGAAGTGGGGGCTCCGCTATTTGTACATCCTCCCACTTGCATCCGCAGTGATGCTTTGCACAAATCAGCTTATAATGTTCTTTCGGGGCGTAGTGTGATTCACTCTACAGTGGGAAAGCTCTAACGGGCTTTCTGGTGGCCTGGGATGCGTTCCGCGACACAAGTGTATGCACCATGTTGGGCATACTTTCAGCAACCGAATCAGCGAAATACTGCTAACCCGGACCTTTCAAAACCGTCCGGGACCTGAATGGAGCTAGACTACTACAGCCATTGAATATATTGTTTGGCTAACACAGGCAAAGGGAGTTAATGACTTTCACGTAGTTGCCGACAGATGTTGCAATTACGTCCATTCCGCCCCGTGCGCCTGGTCTCTGCCGGCTCAGAAAGTCGCTCAATATTTTTCCTCGTGCTTAAAAGTTTACCGGATCCAACAGGGACACAATCACGGGTAGGGATCCAGAAATCTTCGGTGCGCCCTGACTGCCTTTGTGACCCTCTTACACGTTGACCGTAATATGACCACTGCGAACCACCCTGAGCTAGATGGGCAAGCAAAGCGCGCCAACCATACTCTTTTGCAGTATTTGATGCTCGTTGAAGCAAAATTTCAATTGGTTAGCTCAACTTTGACACAGGGTTGTGTCCTCTTGTATTGATCTTGCAGTATGCTGCACTAGATGATATTTACGAACAGACGAACCAAACAGGCGATTCTTCAATAAATTCTTGATAAATATAATGAGTGTAGTAGAAACGGTCGAAGTGCAGTTCAGGTGACTACATCTTCTCCTCCCTTTCTTCCCTCCATTTCAAAATACGCGCCTGCGTATTTCCCACCTATATGTCGAGACAGAGTGTATGCAAAACTGCGGAAGTGTTCCCGCTCTATCACCAATCCATAGGCAGATGGAGACGCTAAGGCATTAGAACTTAAACAAGCAAGTGTGTGCTTCAAGCGCTTCAGTGAAGTCTACATTAAAAATGGCACCTAGTGGCCAACAATGAACGAGGCACTTACCAACACAACCGCTGCGGCACAATGGCTCCCTGTCGTCGGAGAGCTGAAATATGTGAGGTTTGCGCTACAAGACAAAAAATACAAGCAAAATGTGTGAAGAGAATCAATGCACACCCTAGCGAATAAAGATCAAGGCACTTCCAAACAGAAGCGCGGCAACATGATGGCTCACTTTGGTGGAGCACTGAGTGTGTGAGCCTCCTGCTAGGAGAAAGGCGAAGAAAAAATGTGTAAAGGGATAACAAACACACAGACTAGCTCAGTAGAGCCTCCGTGTCTCATATAGCCATTTCTGCATGCAAATACAGCCGGCGCATGCACAAGTGCCTATTTCAAAAGGCGACCACCACAAAAGAGGCTTGGGGACAAACGTGGAAGCAGCACACCTGAGAACGCCGACGCACAAGTCTGACTGTAGAAAGTACCTTAGAAAAAATCGGCGACTCCTAAGCAACACCCATAGATCAAGGTACGTGATTCAAGCACAGAGCATGCGTTGGGGTAGGGCAACTACAAAAAACTGTAAGACCGTCTATGGAGAAAAGTGTCAAGCAAAACACAGCCGTCACTTCTTCCACAGGCAGCAACGCCCGCAACTGCTCCGCCGTACCACTAAGATTGGCATTCTCTACCCTAATCCACTAAAACCTGCCGCCTAGTGTGTCTTCGGCACTTGATAGCCCCAGAGTCCAGCACTTCTGGAGCTTCTTGTTACCCCAAAGCTACCTCACGGGTCACTTTTCTGCTTGACAGAGTCCGTTGATAATTTCAAAAGTAATAATGCTTCTTTAGGAAGTGAATATTGATAGTAAGGTGGTACTGCTCCACTTGTAGGCGATCGGCAGAGTAAGGAAGTGTATCGAAGCGTGAGAAAACGCCAAGTGGCCTAGCGACAAGGAGGAAAACCTTATCTTGGCACCTTTCAGTGCATCTCAGAAGACTTGCTGATTCATCAGAATCAAAGCTCCAGGCTCGAAACACGCACCAGACCGCGGTTCCTAGTTTTATTATTTTCAATACAGAGCTTAGCGCATACATTCGCATAGACCAGCCAGCTGCTCTCAGGATGCTTCCTCTGCTAAAAATGGATGCTGGCTCCATACCAGCAGGTCCCAGATCGGAATGGATAAGGGCTCCCTAGTGTGGACCAGGGATGTGGGAGAGCAACGCGTAGAGGAATTTACTGTCGTATTATACACGCACTGAGCAAACGGAGGAAAAACAAGTCTGCCATCAGAATTTTTGTGCTCATAACGTTGCAAGGACTGCTGCAGCATGAGCAGCCCACCTCACTGATGCGTCTTCTTCGCTTTTCATGCAGCTTGCTTCCGCTGAAGCCCGTTGCCTTGTTCAACTTCTATGGCTTATTGTGTGTGCTTGTTGCTCTGAATTATATTACCTAATCCCCCCACTATAAAGGCAAGTGAGCTCTAAGAAGGTTGTCTGGAGCTGTTTAGTATCCCGGGTTTACTCGGGCTTCCTCTTCGCATTTGCCGCGTCCTGTACGCCAAGACCAGTTGACACAGCCCCAACTTCCATGCTTTAGAAGTCTTGAGTTGTCTCTTCCTTCTTCGACAAAGGCATAGAAGCATCTCTCATTTGCTTCTCGAACCTCATTGGTCGAGTGTAAGAGTGCTGAGTGGCTGCTCGTCCTCTGACTACTTGGCATGACTGTTCAGGTCGACACCAAATATACTAGCAGCAAAGCAACTCTTCCTCTACGTTGGAATCTTTCAGGCCACAGATTCATATTTTTCTATGCAACGATCCATTGAATTATTCTCTTACTTCAGCTTCCTGAAGGTTCGAACAGCTTGCTAAGCTGAACTCGGCAAACCCCGATGAGTCGGGGCTTGTGTAAAGGCTTGAACTGTAGCAATCCCTGCAATAAGACCAATTTCTGTACAGAAATAAGGCCGCAACCGAACTGTTTCTCCCTCCACAAGGCTTGCCGAGGAATCAGTCGTTTCTCTTTAACGGATTACAAATCGAAGAACACCTTTATCTGGCTGAGGAAATTTTCGAGTACTTGCCCATCTTTACGGCTGTCGTGCTCTTCTTGTCTGAATAATCTCGTCAATGCATCCATACCCATATTATCTGCTGAGAGCTCATGCCTTTCCGCCCACGGTGGAGCTACTGCATTCACATCAGCTTGCACTCAAGCGTTGTGCCACCGTCAACTCCCATTACCAGAGGTTATATCCCCAGCCTATTGACAAAGCAATAACTCACTAAGTTGTCAATTACATTGTTCGAGACCAGACACATGTTAGAGGAAAACAAGGCATCCTAGTACATTCACAGCCAGTGGGTGATCGGGACACAGCTGCCTCGAAGCACGCCGTGCTACCAGCTGTAGCGCTTCAGCTCTTTCCGTAGGGAGACACTTAATCCCAGGCTCAACACGCACGGAATATAAAATTGTTGAGTGCGTTCCACAGAAACTCGCCGCTTCCCCCGCTCCCCGTGTGTTTCTCAGAGTTCCCAACATGAGGAGAGAAAGGCATTTAGGCATGCGTAGCTCCACTCGAAAAGCACTAGGAACACTCACAGCAAATTGCACAGAGCACCTAGTGCAGACGAACACAGCATTGCACCCTCTAGTATCGAGCTAAAGCTGCTTTGCAATAAATGAGATGTACGAACAGGTAAACCAATAAGTGTAAAACCTGTTACTTCTTAACCAGTATAGCCAGTGCAATGGAAAATGCTCACGCATAGCATAGCCTCATTCAGCGAGAGAGGGTCAGCTAGGGAAAACGGGCGATGCTGCACGCTACAAGCACTAATAGTGCAAATACTTAGAGACAGTTGCACACTGCAACACGTAAGGCATAGGCATTAATCGTTTTTTTGTACCGTGTTGAGCTCACTAACACTACAACAAATAGCCTGTAGGAGGAACCACCCCTAAGAGACAATTTTCCACTATTTCATGGAGAAAGTTTGCCAGTGATGTAGAGGATGCCAAAATACAGCTTTGAACCCGCTACACTCCACTAGGGGCTCTTGTCATCTACCTTCGTACCGTGAACTGAGGAGAGCGTGGTCTCTGACTGAGCATCAGAGAAAGTGAGGATACAAGCTGATGTACAGGGGCGAATGACTTCTCTTTCGAGAAGCAGAGAAGAATTTCTTTCGAAGATGCATTGGGCTCAGCACTGCAAAGGGGATCCCCAAAAGGAAATTTCTACTAAGAGTGTTGACGGCGGATGAAGGAGCCACGGCGAGCAAAGGAGCCCATATTGTAACCTTCAGGCAGCTACAGGCAGGCAGCTCTAGTTCTGCATGCATAAAATCACTTACTGAGTGTTACAGGCGCCCAATTAATATACCGTGTCAGACAAAGCATGCGCGCTCCGCAAGCCAGCCAGACCTCGGACGCACGCAAAGGGCACCCAGAATGGGCTAAGAAATGTGCCGTTACATAAGAAAGATCTGAAGGGTCATGACCAGCTCTTGTAAATATCAACAGTGCTTTAAAACGGGCTGTGCCATACAGTGCATGGTGACACCGTAGGAGCCACCCCAAAACTAGCATGCTCTGCAAGTAAGGGGGAGCGTTGGCATAGCTGCCAAAATAAGGGCCCACAGATTCTGAGCGATACCAAACGAGACTACATGCACAACATTTGCAGGCTACAGCTTGTCAATGTGCCAGCAATTGGAGGAGTCACAGAGCCTTCGCGTGCTCCCCATGCTTGTGAGAAAGGATCTGGTCCCACGGATAACATCGCCACGATCCCAAAGAGCTACTTCGAGTTCTATCAGTGGGAGAAATGCGCCTCTAAGATGACCAGAAAACGCACAAGTAGTAGCGGAATCGGTTGCAGAATTCGAACTGACATCCTCATGAGAGCGTTGTATACGGTGATCCTCCACTTGTCTGTGACTGCAATCCTCTACGGCTAGCCACAAACAGCTGCACCTGCTCCTCTGAAGGGTAGCACATAGTATTGTTCCACGGCAGTGGACGCGAAGCATCCACGAAGCCGTCCTCTAAATGTTGCCTATCAGCCAGCCTCTACATTAGGAGCATGTCTTTTGATTGATCTTTCAGCTAAATTTCAAGGCCAAGATACTCGTACTCCTGTGCAGGGTTCTTTTAAAGCGCAGACGTCCTACGATACCCGAAGCTTCTAAGCGCTCAAGGCCTTTCGTACACCTGGGAAGAGGCCTAATGCCCAACACGAGGGAGCCAAGAAAAAGTCTGCGCTGAGAACCCCGCTAAGGGTTTGGGGAGACAGGGTGTGGCTTAACTCCCCGTGGGTATACTCATCAGCGCAGAACAGGAAGACTGCCGACAGACGGCATCGCGGAACGAGGCGGTCACATCCTTTCCCTAGAAAGATTACAGGAAACTAGCAGATGCACTAGAAATAGATTGCAATCAGAAACAGGACAAGGGGGTAGGAAGCAGTGTTTCAAGAACCTGATTTTCCTTGCTTAGGTACCTACTACCCCCGGAACAAATGATCTCTCCCCCCCCTTCCCCTCAGTGCCTTCTGCTAATGAAAAAAGTACACCAAACAGTGCCAACATCCGGTCTAAACAATTGCCAGCACCTGTCACACAGGCAGCTGGGAAGATGGAGGAAGCCGTTCTCTCTTGTTTGAGGCTTTTGACACAAGCACACGCCCACATTCGAGCGAATAGGAATGCAAGTAGCCTGACCCTGTCCTAGTGACGCCCCTACCAATGCATTCACAACTGGCCCACGCCGAAGCAGCTACTCCTGGGAACGACCTAAAACGAGGGCAGCAAGACGTGTGAGATGGCGAAGGCGGAAAGGAGAGGACTCTCAGTTTCCATCAAAATGCAGCTGGTCTCTGAAGGCCCTCACGTCACTCTCAGTGATGGTGCACGACGAACCCCTCTCCCGCACGCAATCCTGAAGAAAAGACTGAAGCAGGAACAGGCACAGATACGGCACACATGCCAACAGCACTGTAGCAACAAGAAGACGAGACACCCTTGGGAGGCAGGCAGCAGCTATGCGCATAGGCCACACGACTAGCCAACAACAGCAGCTTCTGAAGCAACCAGCCCCCGTCTCTTTCCGTTCTTTCCCGCCCCTATCCTCACCCCCTTCCCACCCCCCACTAAAAACGGAATCTGCCAAGAGTAGATAGTTAGGCCCACGGTGGCAGCCAGAAATAGAGGCAGCAGACACGATCAAGGAGAGGCTGCGCATTGCACAGGGAGCTGCTGCTGGTTGAGGCCTCTTACCACGAACTTGTCTGCAAAGGACCGGTAGTTGCTAGCCATGATCATTTGCTGCGGCGACCACAGCAACACCAGAAGGACACTCCCACCGAATGAAACAGGATAGCAAGAGCAACAGCGGTCCAACAGTAACAGCAGCAACGAAGAAGTGCTGCACCCTTACCGTTTCCAGAGGCAGTCGATTGAAGGCCGCCATGAGCGCTGCCTCCGCCGTAGGCGTCTCGCTAGTCCCCTGCGGCATCGCACGCACCATAACATAGAACTGCCGAATGCAGACAGCTACCGGCTGCAGCAAGACGTAAGCGCTGCCGCAAGAATATGTTGCGACAGCCGGAAGCACAAGACCAAACAGCGCGTGTCGAGGTGTGGCGAAGGCCAAGCGAGAAGCTAACAGCGCCCTCAGCAGGGTCAGCATACAGCCACGCAGCCACAAGGAAGGAAGAGCTGCGGTATACAGCCAAGTCCAACCTGCTCGCGATCGAGCCGTTCCTGTTCTCTCAGAATCTCGGCAACAGACACGAGCCCATCCCCTTCGGCGTCCGACTGAGCCGTCTCCGAGTCGGTGGCTGCAAAGGCACATGCAAAAAGCGCAAAGAATAGCGGCAGAGGGCGTGGAGGCAGCTGCTAGTGAAGATACTGCTCGCCACGCTACACTAGGGGCATAAAGCAGGAGAAGCAGGGAGAACACGACTGGCAGCCTCGAGGGCCATACATGGGGGCGATGGTGAGCCACGGCGTCTGCAGCGCAGCCGGGGAGCATCTCGCAGTTCCTCGTCCAATGTGAGTTGCTGTTGCTGCTCCTGTTGCTCCTCTTGCTCCTGTTGCTGCTCCTGCTCCTGCTGCTGCAGGGGGGTGCCCAAATGCCTGAGCGTGTGGGGCCCCTCAAAGACAACACGGGTAGCTTCTCCAGGAATTCCGCTGAAGGGAAAATAATGCAGCAAATACTCGGCACGACCTGTTCTGTCTAAGCGGCGTCGAGGTGCCCTCCGCAGCTCTGCTGGCCACCATACAACACGCCCCTGTTGCTGCTCTTGTTGCTGCTCTTTTGGCTGCTCTTGTGGCTGCTCCTGTGGCTGCTGCGTGTCGTCAGCGATTTCTGGGGGGTCCTGGTCGTCTAGAAGCACCCAACGGACTTCTAAGCTGTCTCCTACGCGCAAGCCAGCGTCTTCCAGCAGCCTTTGAGCGTCGGCTGCAGCCTCGGATGCGGCAGCAGCGGAAGGTCTTGGTGCCGACTGCAGAGGAAAAGCAGCCCTTCGGGATAGCAGCTTGCTCACGGGAGGAGATGACAAGAAAGCAGCCGATCGCGTTCGTTTAGGCCTGCCTGGAAAGCCAGGAGGCGGTATGCCTTCGAAAGCGGCATCTGCAGGTGCTGTCTGCTGATCCTGCTTTGCAGCCGACATGGCTGGAGCCTCGTCTTCCAGAAGCGTTTCAAGAAGAGACGCGTTGCTGATAGGGCCTTGATCTGGATGCCCTCTTGGTGCCTGCGAAATCGCCGGCAGCTGCTGGTCGATAGCATCAGCAAAAGAAGAAGTCGCTGCTGCTGGCGTCGCTGCTGCTGGCGTCGCTGCTGGACTGGCTGGCGATTCGTGGGGAGGAGTGCCTCTGGAACCCGCCACTGTCAGAGCAGCTGTAGGAGGACACTCAAAAGAAGTTGAAATCACCGACTCCACCACGTCTGCATGCAGGGCAGTCGCCACTGCTGCTGCTGCTTCTGCTTGTTCTCCCGGCTTCTCGCTTGCTAGATCAGTTGCTACGGCTGCTCCAGAGTTGGGGCGGCGGGCGGAGGGAGTCGCCATTCCCCCCCAAACAAGACTGGCCGTAATAGCAGCAGCCGTGGAGGAGGACGCAAAAGAATCTCCTGCGGAAGTTACGCCTGCTGGTGCAGAATCTCCTGCGGAAGTTACGCCTGCTGGTGCAGAATCTCCTGCGGAAGTTACGCCTGCTGGTGCAGAATCTCTTGCGGAAGTTACGCCTGCAGGTGCAGAATCTCGGGATGTAGATGGGGCCGTGGTGGAAGCCAATGCGGGAGTTGCAGGTGCAGAGTCAGACGCTGATAGGACTGGCGATGATACTGCGAGTGCGAGCGCCTCGTGCAACGTGGAGGTCTCTACTCTCACCGTAAAAGGAGCAGCACCTGGAGGGCTAGCAGCAGTCAGATTTGGTGGCATTGCTACGGCTGCTAACACTGTGCGTGGAGATGCCGCTTTAAGGCCATCTGGGAAAGTGGCATCTGCAGCAGAAGATCCAGCCGATCGACGCTGCCGATTAGTCTGCCGAAAGGGATCATCCTGAGAAGGCCCCTGTATCGGCATGCAAGGCTGCTTCTGCTGCTGCTGCAGCAGTAACTGTTCTCTCGAGGCTTCCAGCTGGACCTCCCTCGCTGCTGCAATAGGAGCTAGCACTGCTTCTGCTGCGCACGGACGCATTTCGGAGGGAAGTGCAGCGGCGGAGGGGCGTTGAGATGCTTCTGAAAAAGCTGAAACTTCAGGTGCTACAGTCATTGGTGATTCTATTGGCCTCTTCAGCGTCGTTGCTGCTGCAACAGGCGTCTTAGTTGCAAGTGCTGCAGGTGACTGCTGTGGAGAGGGTAGTGCTGCTGGGGAAGGACTCGTAGCAGCTGCTGCTGCAGTTGCAGAGGCTTCGATACCACTTGTGGTTGAAACTGCTGCGGAAGCAAGTGCTAATTGTCTTGTAAGCTGTGCTGCTGCTGATGCCACGTTTGCCTGTGCAGCAGGTGTGTCGGATGCAGCTCTAGTCACAGCTGCATTCCTTGGCAGTGCTTCTCGTTCAAGTGTTGTTGTCGCGCTGCTTGCGACTGCCGCGACTGCAGTGGGAAGTGGTGAAGCTGCAAGCGGTAGATTTGCAGGTGCCTCACTGTGCGCTGCTGCTGCAGAGTAAGGCAGTACTGCCGCACGACTTGCAACAGCTGCTGCTGCTGCTGCTGCAGGCGAACAGGGTGTTGTTGCTGCTGCAATTACAGGTGCCTCACTGTGCGCTGCTGCTGCAGAGTAAGGCAGTACTGCCGCACGACTTGCAACAGCTGCTGCTGCTGCTGCTGCAGGCGAACAGGGTGTTGTTGCTGCTGCAATTACAGGTGCCTCACTGTGCGCTGCTGCTGCAGCTGCTGCAGTAGAAAGTGATGCCGTTGCAGGAGATGCAGCTGCCTTAGTTGCAAGCAGAGGGGAAGCTGTTGGGCGTGCTGCAGCGGATATTGTTGCTGTTGCAGCTGCATTCGGTCCAACTGCGTCCCCTGCAGCCGATGCAGCAGCAAATGCAGCAGCAAATGCAGCTGCAGACACAGGCCATGCACCCACAGCTACATTAGGTGTATGGGATGCCGCTGCAGTTTCAGACGATGCTGATCCTGAACTTGCAAGTGACGCTGCTACAGCTGCGCCCGTCACTGCTGCTGCTGCTGCTGCAGTTGTAGGTGAAACTAGTGCATCGGGAGCAGCAGCAGCAGTGGCTGCCTTCGCAGCAACAAGTCTCTGGAGAACTGCTGCTGACTGCGCTGTGGGGGCTGTAGATCTTGCCTCTGTGGCTGCAGTGTCAGTAGGTGCTAGCAGCATGGCTGCTGAGGATACAGCCGTTTCAGACAACGCAGAGGAGACCGGAAGAGGCGCAGCTGCATCTGCATCTGTACTTGCAGAATCTGGTAGCCTTTGCGTTTCTTTGGCTCCCCTTGAATCCCCCAGTCCACGCACGTGTGCTGTTGACACAGGTGTCGCTGAGTTGGAAGCAGGCATGTGCAGGATCGCTCCTGCTCCTCCTTGTGCAATTGCAGCCACAACGCGCGGCAAGGCTTCGAATTTCGTTGGAGCTGCCACGTCACAAGCTCCTAACAGCATCTGAAACTCAGTTTCCAGTGGCAAAGTCGCTGCTGTTTCTGCTGCTGTTTCTGCTGCTGTTTCTGCTTCTGTTTCTGCTGCTTTTTCTGCTTCTGTTTCTGCTTCTGTTTCTGCTTCTGTTTCTGCTTCTGTTTCTGCTGCTGCTTCTGCTGCTGGTGTTGTCGTTTGTGTCGGGATGGGTGCGGCAACGCTAGCTGTTGCTGCCGCTGCTGCAGCGGCTCGTGCAGTTGAGCAGTCTGCTAAAAGAGCAGCAACACATGCCGAAGAAGGCACTGCAACCTGTGAAACAAGCGCCTCGGCTGTGGCTCCAGATGCAGTGGGGGGGCAGCAGCCCTGTGAAATCGTGCCTGGTAGTGGATTGCTGCTTCTGCTGCTGCAGTCGGCTGTCGGGAGAGTGGAGGGAGGCGGAAACAAAGCCTCTCTAGGGGGTTCAGTGATAGTCAAAGCAGCGGTCTGCACCACTTTTGCCAAGGACAGACTGACATCCATGCCACTGTCACTGGAAGCCTTGGGGAGTTTCACATTGGGGACTGCAACGCATTTCCCAGTCTGCGGATTGTGGGTGTACTGCCGTTTAAGCGAATGCTCCTGCTGCTGCGCCTCTGAGGTCAAGAATGCCAAAGGAGATGATGGCTGAGGCAGTAGTACAGCTGGGCAGTGGCTTGTTGTTGCAGCAGCACCAGCAGCAGCAACAGCAACCAGAGCAGATATATCCCTAGACATCGCGTTGTTATCCTCCGGCTCTGCGGCATGCTGGATATTGGCAGCAGTGAACGCGCCACTTGCTTCTGCTGACGCTGCTGCTTCTGCTGCTGATGCGAGAGCTCCTGTTACTCCTCCGGGTGCCGCTGTTTCTGCTGATGCTACTCCTCCTCCTGCTGATGCGAGAGCTTCTGCTACTCCTCCTGATGCCGCTCTTCCTCTTGATGCCATTGTTTCTGCTTGCGCCACGACGTCTGCCTTTCTGTGCGCTGCATCCTCTGCTGTTGGCGCTGGTGTTGTTGGAGGTGCTTCGGCTGCAGGACTGCTCTGTCTGCTGCAGGGAGTGGCCTCAGAGGCTTTAGAAACGCCGTTGCTGCAGCATATGTCCATTTTCAAGTGGTTTCGAAAGCGTCTGCTGCAGGTGAGCACTGAAGGAGGAGGCTCTCACTCACAAGGTCACTGAGCAGCTCCTCTCTGGGCTGTTCGGATGCTGTTGTTGCAACTGGCCACGCGTCCGCGCACCTAAAATTCGATAAGAAAGACAACTCTATAGCATTTAAAGATGCTCGGAAACTGCCGCACAAAGGCCTTCGAGTTCCCAGGCCTCGTCACTGCCTTCATAACGCCCGATCGTACCGCCGCGGCTGCCGTACCACTATAGCGACAAGAACAACAGCGCGCATCAGGAGGCTCTTGCATGTACTTCTCCTGCTGTTACTCTGAAATCTGGCCTCATTTGCACCGTATTCTCGAGCTGCTAATTCGGTAGCGTCTCGGAAGGTGCTTGGGAAGCTTGACACACAACGGGTTCCCCCGGGGGCCGTGCAGAGGCCCTCAAGACCGTAAGGGAGGCTGCGAGATGCTCCCAGATATTTGTTTAGAAAATCTCAGCTAATAAGAAATCACACATTTAGTCAGTACGGCTTTTATGGGAAGGCTCAATCAGCTGGTAGCGGCCCCGCAGTGGGGGGCTGCTGCCACTTTTATCGCTGCGGGGGCCGCGCGTGTACAACTACGGTGTCTGCACGTGTTGTTGCTTTTGTTGCTATTGCTGTTACTGCTGCTCCATTAACTGAAGACAACTGACTCCTCTGAAGCCTTATACGCAGGCAAATACTCCCGGGGCTTCCCCCGAAGCGTTCCCCCCTTTCTCAGTAGCGCAGTCGCAATCCACGAAATCATACGGAAAGGCGCTGTGTCCACTGAACACTGGCTGCAGAAAACAGACAGACCGTAGTGCTCCTCTTTCTGCATAGTCTTGCTACCGAAGGCCTCGCTGAGGGCCCCGCAAATGCACGCTAGAAAGCTCGCAGTCAAATGTGCAGGGATCACCGCTAGCCACCGGCTAGCGTAGATAGACCCGCAGGTATCCTGTCTTTCGACCAGTTCGATACTGCAGTTAATGAGCGATGAGCGGCCTGAAGAGAGGGCTAGCAAGCTTGTTGGCCACTTTCAGATACTTAAAATAGGAAGCTAGATAGATGACCATACAGTTAACAAGAGCACTGGCCATGCCTACAACTTGTGCCTGCGCGAAAGCGTTGTGGCTCGTGCGCTCCTGGTGGACGGTGAAGCTTCCCGGGGGAGAGACACAGGCAGATGTGGACAGCATACTGCAAAGTGCAGCGTGCCTGGCCTACGACAGCCTTGCTTTGATCCGCCGGCGGCCCATCAAGTAAAGCCCTTATGGCGGGAGGGGGACGAACAAAAGCGAGTAGGGGGGCGCTCTGTACTGCAAACCGTGATCACGACTGTGCGTCGTCAACGGAATATCGTGCAGTCTCTCCCTACAGTAATTGAGCCTGTATTTAGCCTGTTGCTTTCTTCTAGGCCGGTTGCCAATAACCCGGTGTGATGACAGTTTAGCATCAAAATTTAAAAGTGCATGGCTCACGGACATCAGCTAAGGCAAAGTGCCAGCAGATACTAGTGGTGCATTCACACGCAGAGAAGCACGGTCAAGTGCTTCCCCCCTCTTGCGTATTTGGCCCATATTTCACACTAAATTACGCTACCAATACACATGGAGGCTCTATAGCTGCTCCTTGCCCCCACCTTTAAAACCTGTCTCCCCATTTGCTTCTTGTGAAGGTTCACTGGTGAAGTGAACAGTTACGGTGCGTGCAAGCTCGTGTCTAAGTTGAATGACTTGGTGATGTGAGGTACCAAAATGGGAGAAACGTTGGACAATGGCGAACATTGGTACAGTGATGGGTGCATGAAATTAATCTCCAAGCCATCCGATGCGCTCTACTCATGCTTTGCATCGCCACTGTGAAGGCATGCCTTGCTGTAGGACTCGGTTGACATGCTGGCGTTCGGTAGTAGACTACTCGCTAGATGACTTTTTCAATGCTTTCGCATATTATACTGAAGTGAGATATGCGGCATAGACTGCATATGTAGGATGGTGGATAGCACAGTGGCATTTTGAAGGCTAGCGGAAAGGCGTACACATGGCAACAAAATGCAATATTTACTCTTATTTAGCTCGAAAGTTGCAAAAATGTCCTTTCACATCATGTGCTTTACATGTAGAAGGAATATTTCCGGCATCCCTTGCAGTTCACAGCATGCGACGGAGAGAGCGCGTGTGGTGTCTTGGTTTGGCGCTTTTGTCTTTTTCTGCTGCTCTGCACGGCTGCGATCTGCCTCCTGGAGATGCTTTCGGGGGAGCTGTGCTTGCAATGCTCTAGCAAGCAGTTTACATACGACTCTAGCTAAGTTATTCACTTATTCTTCTCCTGACAAGCATTTAATAAATGGAGCGATTCTTCGCCATGAAAGCGTCAAGAAACATGCCATGCGAGCAACGCTGTGAAGTATCTCGTCACCGGAATACACCGAGTTGCCGTAGTTCATGTTTATGCATCCATGGCATGTGTCTTGATGTGGCTCTTTCGCGCTGGCTATTGGAATTTAGCGTATTTTCATGTAATCCATCGCCTCTCCTCCGGTGACTTCTTTGGCAAATTGCAGAGTACATACCGTCCTTGGACCACTGGGAATTATGTCGGCATTATACAGCAACCGCGTTGCAGTCAGTGCCCCTCTTCAGCGTTGAGATTAGTAGGTAGATGGATGCAACACCGGAAAGCGTTAGCTTAGCAGCGGTGATGTGCCAGAAATCAATGCTGGTTTTGCTGAAGGGGATTGCCTCTCTCCACAATCACTAATCAGACACTTTTGCCTGTTGAAATGAAACTGCTATGCTGCTTCGTGGGAGTTATTGCTAGTAAGGATTTGTCCACAGACCCTTTTCGCAATGCAGGTGCATGGACGTTTACGTCAGTCGTGAGCTGATCATAAGCATATGCAGTGTTCGTGCATACAGCTCAAGAGGGATATCCCTATTTATCTAGCTCCTCTCCGTCACTAGTGGCGTTTTGCCCGATGCCGCGCAAGGCTGCTCCTGCACTTTTTCTACAAGTATGCGGTACAGCAGCGACCAGCTGTGTTTGGGAGGCTCCCTCCCAACCCATCAAAAACACGGCAATGCTGACCGATGCAATTGGCTTACCCCACTTCAGTCTGTCCTTGCTAAAGGCTATCTTAAGTCATCATGGTGCTTGCCATCTCACAAAATAACGGCGTATCAAATAGTGCAGCCCCTGTTGATTCGTGTAAACGGCAACTGGCGCAACCAGAAGTAAGGGTCTTTATCTTTCAAGCGCCATTCAAACACGCAATAGCCCTGGATCCTTCGCTGCACTGCCCTGCGCAGTTGCAGATGTCGCTGACGCACTTTTTCGCAGCAGACCGACCAACAAGAATGCACTCTACCCGGGGTAGAGGCTCATGCTGATTTTTGGAAGGCTGTTCGGGTAGCAAGTCAAGAATACGCACCGGCAACCACGTTGGTGATGGCATTATATGCTTCACTGTGAAGCTGCACTGCAGAAGGCGCACAAGCCATCGAAAACCTCTAGGATTATCAAACTCTTGAAAAACTTTATGAGATGCACGCGCAAAACTGATCCCCGGTGGGTCCTCTACAACATTTTATCCTCTGTCGCTTTCTTCACTGCGTCACAGCGCGCGAAAGCTTTTTATTTCTCCTACGTGCCTTCTTGGCTCGCTAAGCAGGCAGCTTCTGCGGGTCGCAGTCCCGTCGTCCAAGTCCTTTGGCTGTTCGCATGCGCCTGCAGTTTCCAATTATATGACCCGAATTCCCCAAAACCCACATTCTTTGCTTGAAGGCTGTCTGTGGCTACCGAAACGCGGGTTCCCCCTATTTTTCTCCTCTGGTTCCAGTTTAGACTGGAAGCTACGGCCGGTTGGCACAGTCTCAACATCCATAGATTCGATACATTGACTTGGCTGTTCCCTTAGCCACAGATGCAAAAGTTGCGCTCAGTTGCAATTGCAGCCTGAAGTAGTCCACCCTTTGTGAAAGCCCCAACGTTTGGCTGTGTAATCGTGATTTACTACTCATCCTGCGAGCACCTAACTTGACCAGCTAGACCTAAGATCAACCACTGACCGAGCAACTGCTCGTGACCGTTGTAGCTTTTGCTAACCATGTTCTATATTTTTGCTTCATTCCAGTTTGATAGATTCCGCTGCCTCAGCCCTCTCGATTCCCCCAGAATTTGGTGTTGAGCCAATCTCGGCCTAATTGAATGAAGGATTGTACAGTAGTAGGCCCTGCAGGCAACCGACCTCCTTTACTGAGATAAAGTCAATATTGCAGTGCTGCTACATCCAATAAGCATGCAGCAAGGAGCACTGGCTTTTGTTAACCTCAGGCGTACAAAGCGGCATCTCCAAACGGTTGTTGAAGTCTTAGAGTACTTGCCCATCCCCACAACTGTCGTACTTTTCTGGGTTCCATAGGTCCACCGAAGCATTGCTATTCACTTTACGTACTAACAAATCAGCTGTTTCTGTCAGCTGTGAAGCTACTCCGTAAACATCAGCTTGCAGCCCTTGTCGCCCAAACAGGCGATATGCCAGTCTACCTCTACTCAGCAATAATTTTTCTCAGCGCGCATCAAACTACTGAAATATCTTAAAACAATTTCGAAACCAGACAGTTGCTGTAGGGAAACCTGGCATCCCACTGCATCTACAGCCTGTGAATTAGCGGCGAACAGCTGCATCCTCACACAACGCAATACTGTCAACTGTAGCGTTCCATCCAAGGCGTCCGTGGGTAGACACTCAGATCCAGAGTCTATATGTACGAATGAATACAACATTTGCCCTTCCTTCCCTCTTGAAGTGACGAACATGAGGGGAAGCTGACAGCTAGGTGCAAGTAGCTGCACCCTCCACGCCTTTCGAGCGGTTACAACTAGTTGCTTGTAGCATTTAGTCAGCACGCAAACAAGATTGCGTCTTTGTGTTTCGAGCCAAAGGCACTGTGTAATAGAGAAAATACACAGACATACAAACCTAATACTCATTGACTTACTGAGTGCTCGCTGAACATCTAACGACCTCAGTAGAAGGTGTTGAAGTGCAACTTGGCTCGCTACAGAAGAAATGATTCACTGAACATTGTGTACAATGTGATAGGGAAGTGGTAACATTTCTTACCAGCAAACGAAACGCAATTACAAGTACAATACTAAACGCGCGAAGAGTAGCTGCTTTGTTAGGGACTCTTTGGCAGTGTATTAGGAACAAGTATCTCCTACTACACGTTGGGGCTTTTCCGAAGGCGATCGGGCTATGGGATATAAAACCTCACACTGCCGAGTCTCCGAACGACGCCTTCTCAAACGGCCTATTTTAAGCTCGTTCAGTAAAGTAGTTTGCATCGTGTTAGGTGTACAGGGAGACTGTCCTGTATCCTATCACTGTTTTAGGCCTGAGTACATCCTATCTAAAGGCTTTGGAGCCCCCTCTGGAAACCTCTACGACCCGCCGCCGTCTGCTATCCTCAGCTGAGCACAAACATAGAACTTGCAGAAGCTTTTGTAGGCAGCCGCAAAAAATTTGGCTCGCCAGTGAATGAACCTTTATCAAGGTAAACACTTGTATTTTTTGTAAAGGCTGCTCAGGAAAGGAGAGGTGAAACATCCACAGGTGTGCAGTTACATATACAAATGCAGGTGTTTATGTGTTACACAGGCTACCACGCAGTAAGCGCTTACACATGTGTACGCCTTTTGAATGTGAACTTATCATGTGCCTACACATGGATACATCCAAATATGTTGTAGGCATGTATCTACTCCATCACATACCAAGGCATGAACACGTATGTCCATGTACAAAGGTGATGCACAAGCAAACATTTACATACATGGGCGCATATAAATACATCCAGGTACATATATATACACACGAATCAAGTATGAATATTCATGTTTTCATACCACATGTGTACTTCGAAGCACACATGTACACAGAGGAAGCCAATACATGCCCGTCTGCTCGCGTCACGGTGCTCGCCTGCTCCTAAAGATTGCACGGGGATACAAATGAAGAAGTGCATACACCGTACGCATTTGTGCTGCCACACAATGAATGGCAACGCCGCGATACGTGTGATGCATGCGTACAGATTGATAGAAATAACAGTTCTGCGCCTAATTCATGTGACCTTTGGGCTGTAGGGGCGCCTCAAACAGAAGCAGACAACACTGGTTGCTCTTGTTCCTGCGGTTGCTGTACGGAAACCTCCGGTTTGCCAATATCTTTGCCGCACGCTACAAGCCTTGCGGCTGCTAGAAGCGGCCCCACACATTGCGGGCTTCCCACTCGTTCAACGAATTCCTAGGCCAATGGAGGACAGGAAGCTTCGTGCCTCGTTTTTTAATTACCCCTCTTCTCACTTGACTCCAAACAGGCTTCCACTTTCCCTATAAAGGGGTGGCGCCGTCCAGAAAGGCCATGCATAGCACAAAGCCCCTCACGGTACCCTTCCTACAGAGAGCTCATACATATGGGCTATTTGTCCAAGTGACTGGCACCTCCCCTGCGAGGGCCCCTATGGAGCGGGGGCCCCATCAGACGAAAGCCAATCCATACAGGTCCTCTCACCATCGTGAAGTCGGGAGACGCACTAGATAGCCCCCATCCCGCTGGGGTAGCGAAAGCGCCCGCACATTGGGCAAGAGGCTTTCAGTCTTTTAAAGAGCCAAACGTCGAGGCAAGCCGCTGCAGCACACCGCACACCCTAGATCGTAACTGCAGCAGCATTCGCGAAGGCGGCGAAAGTTTCCTCTTAGGAGTGCAGCAAGAGGCATCTCAGTTGCAGTGCGCCACTAAACCAATGCACGTCCTCAACAAGGGAGCCGCAGCCGTTAAACCCTCCAGAAGCTCCAAGATGGCAGCGCGCTCATGACTGCATGCAGGGGGGCCCTCTAGAATACACAAGGCCCTCGATCGAGCACACCAACGTCCCTCCAGGCTCTCTCCCATGAGTCCTGGAGGGGCCCCCCGGAGGGCCCTCGGCGTGCAAGGGCATAGAAGTGGATGGGAAAGCCTACCATGGAATTTATGCTGGCATGCCGAAACTACGCGCAGGAGCTCCCCCGGCTTCATGTCGTCAAAGCAGAAGATACAGAACTGAAGCACACAAAGGAAGGCACAGCGGCCATAGAACGCTCACACGACCCGCGCAAAATTTGGAGGTTCTAAGTAGTAGCGATTCGGGAGAGGGGCCTTTGCGTACGTGCCCGGGTGTATCAGCGTGTATGCGCATCGCATCGCGTGCGAAGGCACCTCGAGTACAAACAAAAAGAGGCGTTTCATTCACGGGCTCACTTCTTGCTCTTTGGAGTGAGCGGAGGAAGGCGTAGCATCACCAGGCTGGAAATCATCGTGGCTGACCTCAATCGGATCGCCCTGAGATCTCGATCCCTCAACGGGGGCGGAGGACCTCGAAGAAGACTTCTTCTTGACATCCTCCTGCAGGAGGAGATGAGTGCAGGAAAGAACCCGCGTGTAATGCAGGAGTCTCGAGGGGAGGAGATCTGCTGCTTTGAGGAGAGAAAGAACCGAGATGGAGGCGACGAGTCCGGCAGCACACAGAATAGCTAAACACATGAGGAGAGCCTGCCCCTCTGGGGGCCCCTTGGACAGGGGCCCCATAACTGCGGAAGAGGGGGCCCCCAACAGCGCGTCTAAGCGGTCGGTGTACATCCAGCGGGTCAGCATATACGTCATCACCGAGAAATAGAGACGCCTCGTCGATGAAAAGAAAAATGCCATAGGGGAATACAGCAGACACCGTTGCAGGAGCCGCAACAATTTGGGGCCTATGCCAGCAGCAAGACGGAGCCACGCAGCAACATGCATCCCTTTAGTACCTCCTAGGGGCCCCCTACATGTTTGATAGCTCTCTGCGAGTCTCCCATCACGCGCAGGCGCTGAAGGGTGAGCTTCACTTGGCGGTGAATGCCCTGCAGCGCTGTTGCCGCTGCTGTTGCTGCTGCTGCTGCCGCTGTTGCTGCTGCTGCTGCTGCCGCTGTTGCTGTTGCTGCCGCTGTTGCTGCTGCTGTTGCTGCTGCTGCTACCACTGCTCGGGGGGCTAGACACCTCCGAGCTCGCCGCTGCTGCAGCGAGCCTGGAGAGTGAGGAGGCGGTCTCTGGGGAAGTGCCTCCTTCAGGGGTGAAGCCGTCCTCAACGTTGAGGGGGGCCCCAAAGCTTTCGCCCAGAAGATACAGCCACCTCGAAAGATGCATGGCCAAGGTGAGGAGAGGAACGTCAACAATGATGCGGCAGTAGATGCCAAGCTGCAGCGCTCCGCGAGCTCCAAAGGACCCCAAGGGGCCTCTGTTCTCCGACAGCCTCCAGGTGGACTGACTCGATCCAACGGGCAGACAGAGCCCCCACACGTCAAGCCCGTGCCAGGGGGCCCCCCCTCCTCCCAGGAAAACGCTCCCATGCAGAGCAGCGCTGCCGCCGTATCTACTGCCGGTGCTACGAACGCTTGGCGCTCCGCAAGTCGGCGATTCATTCCAGACGGGAAACCAATTGAAATGATCCAAGACGAGAAACGCCGGAGGGGCCCCCGCCAGAGACACCAGTTCTGCCGCTGCAGCCTGAGGTTCTGCCAGCGTCGCGTCAAAGAGCTCCACCAACCACAAACACAACGCAGTCAGGGAAGCGAATGGCGAAAGGACGCCGAGCATGACGCAGGTAAAAGGATACAGCAGCGCGGGGGCCCCTATCGCGCAGAAGTGGAAGAGCCACTCGAACGCACGACCAACCACGGGGCACGCATGCAGCACCACCAGCAGCGGCAGCTGCAGCAAAACGCGCAGTCGGACCCTTACGTGATGGCGGCACCCAAGAACCCGGCAACCCATCGCCCGCAGAGAGCACAGAGGGGCCCAGAGGGCCCCCCAGGGGGCCCCCAACAACGCGTCCTTTGCCACTTTTCTGTGGGTGGGCCACCCAAGCCAGCGCACGCCTGCGGAGGCGCCGTCTCGCGAACTCTGGATGGCAGGGGGCCCCGGGGGGCCCCCCCTCGATCGAGTTCGCCTGCTGCACCGTCTGCCTCTGCTCAGGCTGCTGCCGGGGGGAGCCGTCGACGGGGAGGGAGGCGGAGTCGCATCTCCCCGAAGGGGCCATGGCTTAGCAGTTCCAGACAGCCGCGTCCAGATGCTGCCGCTGCTGGCTGGCAAAACTGCTTGGGAGCGCACCGGATCACGCAGTGCACGCTGATCCTCCACTGCAGCAGCTCCAGCGGTGTCACAAGGCGCCTGACGGTCCTCGTTTTCGACTCTGGGCAGGAGGAGGAGGCTGCTGCTGCTGCTGCTGCTGCTGCTGCTGCTGCTGCTGCAATCGGTGCCGCCGTCACTGCCTTTTTGAGAAGTGCTGGCGGCGAGGATTCCTGCAGATCTGGGTTTTCCTGGGGCAGTCGATCTTTTGGATCTGACGGCTCGGCTGCCACTCCCTCTGCTGCCGACCCCCCTCCCTCTGCTACTGTAGGGCCCCCCCCCCTCAGCGGCAGAGAGTGATCCGCTGTCGTGGGCTTCTTCCGAGCACTGCGCCTCGCTTAGGTGCCTCGGATGGTTAATTCTACACCTCTTGTTGGTTCCTCCGCTGCAGAAGCTGCTACTGTGGTTACTGCTGGCGTTGCCACCACTCCCTTGAGCGGCTTGTACGCCCCTCAGGTCCCCTGCTGGTGGGTTCTCCATTGCGGCAAGGCATAATGCGTGCAACGACGGCTTTGGCCGCACATCCGAATCCCCACCCACGCTGCAGGCGCTGGTGTTGTTGCCAGTATTGTTGTCTCTGTATCGTCTCTTTTGCTTATGAGGGGCGCGCAGTCCGATCTCACAAGGAAGGCCGCTTCGTCTGTTTCATCTCAAAGTACGATCCGCTCTATGCAAATATGCCGCTGGAGCAGCAACAGCAGCAACTCCCAGGGAGGCACCCGCCGCTGCACAACCCTGCAACTCGCTGATACAGAAGCCGGGGAAATTCTCTGCTGGGTATGAGAAAGTACCTCGTTATAATGCGTTTAAGGCTGTTTGGGACTAAATGCATTCAAAAAGAAGCAAAGACATGAGGAAGGGGCCGACTGCCTCCTAGCCACGGAATGACGAAGCGCAAAGTTGGGGTGGTGCAACTGAAAGAGTGGCAGTGAAAGGAAACTGCCACTTGCTGGCTGTATTTCTGGGAGCCTTGGCGAAGAAGGGCCAAAAGAAGTACAGGGAATAAATCCGAATACTGCAAACAACCGACAGGCGCCGCCGTCTGGCTAAATTATTAAGACAAAAAGGCAGTGAGCTGTGTGGACCTGCACCCAAGGTGAAGAGTGGACAAAAAAAGCTGCCAGTTTTATTATTAATTGCATCACGGTTTCTCTGCAGCTTCTGCTTTTGCGGTTACTTGCCACCATGAAGCAGACACCACAGCCCACTACCGAACCCAGACGACGGCAGGTGAGGTAACCTCTGAACAGCTTCCCGAGTTTTTTGTGTTGAGAAACGCGCATTAATATTGCCCTTTTCTATGTTTCAATTGCTAGTCATTGTTATACGCAAGATTACTTCCTAATTATAGATATCCCACGAATGTGGCAAAACCAGGCATAGGCAAGTAAGATGCAACCAGACATTTGCAGTTGCATGCATGTATATTCACTGTTTAAACGTCGGTATTCCTAGCGGCAACGGGAGCACCGGTAGTCATTGTTCGGACCCCGCGCCATTAGTTGCTGTTACAGTGGATGATCCTCGCTCATGAGGGAGAGGCCTGTGCGTTTCTAGTCCCGAGAACAAGCTTCATCCCGCAACTTAAGAGGACGGTTCTAATGCGCCTTGCCAAACCATCCAAAGGAGCTTGGTCTACTGAAGAGGAGCGCTTGACTGCACGGTGTGTCAAGGCTACCAGCACAAGCGCTACCATCCCCTGCAATGGACCTTCCTTGGCGTGAAATGCAAAAACTTGTTCCTTCAGGAACATTTGTTCGTTCTCCCTGCAGCCCGAGGAAGCAAGAGGGAGTCCTCAACGACTGAGGAGTGTAAAAGTTAAGAAAAGTAAAAACACTTCTTCTCAAGCAAGCGCCACAGCAACTTCCATAAAGGCTCAGAGGACGACTGAGAGCCACTATAAGCAAACCAAATATCCTGGATAAAGGGATGTCTCAGTTTTTGTATAGACAAGAGGAAGAGGCTATTTGCGTGAGGAGGACTGGCAGCTGCAGCGCATCGAACGCTGACGGACCTTTTAGGGCCGTTCGAGCAGGACTCTCCTTGAGGAGTACAGGGGACTAAAGACACCCTCATTATTGGATGGATTCCACTCGAGCCCTTATGTTTGCATGACTAAGCTTATGCACGATCTGGTTAAGAGTCTCAGGACCCCCCGAATATCTGTGATGCAAAAAAACCGAACCACACGCGATACCAGCGAGAAAATGCATAGACGTACAAACGAAACCAGCAGAAGATGATCCGTTCAAGGTTCTTAGATGCCACAGGAGATGGCAGCCTTAGCATTTGAAGAGCATCAATGAAGTCCTTAGTATACATAAAATTGACGCACATGCGTGCCGACAGGGAAGCTACGCTAGTGGCAAAGCAACTTGTATCCCCCCTAAGCCCTACGACATGCCCGGTTGCTCAGTAACTGGCAGGCGATACAAATTCACGACTGCCCTACAACGAAGCGCCACATAGTACGTCTTCTCTTACCTAAGCGTTACCTTTGCTCCACCCGTGCACTCGTTTGTTATCGGATCCGCCGCAATGTCAACTTTAAGAGCTCCCAGCCTCAAAGGAGGAGAAGGGGTTCCTTCAGGGCCTCTTTCGGAGCCTTTGATGAGCCGCAGCAAATCCTCTTCCCGATGGGTGCGAGCCAAGCCGGAGAGGTGCAGCACAACGAGCTGCAGCACCGTAAGGCAACAGTGTGTCAGAGTGTGCGTTAAATTTGTGCGATTCTTGTTGCCGATTTCCGGTTCTGCTGCTGCTGCTGCACGCGCTGCATCCTACTCTTCTGGCGCTCCCAGCCTCTGGTGCCTCTTGTTATTGCTAGGCGGTCTTTAGGAGGCAAGGCTACTTTATGCTACTCGCGCTCCTGCCCTTTCCCCCCTTCCCCTGTCAACGTGTGGTACCTCAAGACCACCGTCTTCTGATTTCGTTTTGGCGTCTTGTTCCTCGCAGAGTCTCCCGAAAACGCGACTCTCTGCGTGAAAGCGGCCTCCCTTGCCCGCTTGCGTAAGTTCTCGTAGCTCCTTCTGCTGCTGCAGCCCTAAGGAAGTATCGAGAGGACGCACTCGCTGCAGGCAACAACACACGCGAGGCGCTACGCGAGCCTGCAGCTCGTGCAAGTGGCGTCTTCGCCGTGTGTCCAAGTGGAGAATGAGGAAGTCTTGCCCGAGTGGAAGCACCCCGACGCGCGCACAGGAAAAGCAGTGCAAGTGTCACGACTCCACCAGCGATTGATCACACGCGCACCCAAACCGCAACTGCAAAGTGCTGCATGTCTCACGGCGGATGTGGGGGGAAGCGGCGGCTGGGTTCCCATGTCGATTGAGGAGCGCATTGCTCTATGAAACCTGTGGGGGCAGACAGAGAGAAACAAACACGCAGGTGCAGCGTCCGAGCGGTGCCGATGGTGCACCTACGGCTGGCTGGCTGCCAGTGCTGCAGACGCTGTGTGCCATCACAGTGCTCTTCAGCTGCTGTTTTGCTAACCTTTCATGTGCGGTAATATCTTCCTTGGGGACTGCAGACCTTGTGGTGTCAACGCCGCTCTCAGTAGCCACAGCCGCGCCAGAGACAGCAGCGGGAGGAGATGGAGTAGGCCTGCCAAACAAGTCGGAGAACTGAGGGTTCCGTAGCTGCTCTTGGCGTCGTCTCAAGTTAGCCTGCACCGCAAATTTCCCCCCAAAATGCCAACATGCTCATGAACTTGGCTGCAGACACCTGCAACGTTCCCTCCAAACAAGCAGATCCCAAGCACTCATCCGCCTAGAAACCGTCTACGCAGCAAAGTGGGTGTATGTGTATGTGTGTGTCTATGTGTGTGTGTGTCTCTGTGTGTGTGTGTGTCTCTGTGTGTGTATGTCTCTGTGTGCGTGTGTCTGTCTGTCTGTCTGTCTGTCTGTCTATCTGTCTGCATTTCTGTCTGTCTATCTGTCTGCATGTCTGTCTGTCTATCTGCCTGTCTATCTGTCTGCATGTCTGTCTGTCTGTCTGTCTGTCTGTCTGTCTGTCTGTCTGTCTGTCTGTCTATCTGTCTGCATTTCTGTCTGTGGTTTTCCGTGCTCATCAGCACCGGCGGCAATCAGCCAACACGACTAGAAATAGCGACATCAGTGGCAATTCGAGCTGGCCCTCCCCGAACGCCCTTCATACCCCCTTCCCCTCGTCTTCCTTCCCCGTTTTGCATTTGTTCTCAGCACTCGCAGCAGCAGTAAGCTTGTTCCTGGCTCCAGACACACCGTTTTATCTACGAGACAGCAGTCTGCAGCTCTTGGAAGAGGCGCAGGCTCTCCAAAGGCCCCTCCTCCCACGTCTCCCACCACAGCCATATCTCCGAAAATCGTGCTGCGGCTTTGCAACAACCGACGCTCACGAGCAGAGCAGCAACTGTTGCAGCTGCTCGAGCTCGTACTGCTGATGACACTGCTCCTCCCACTGCAACTGCTGACTGCAGACCGCGGAGTGCTGCAGCCACTAGCAATGGCAGAATGACGCTGCTGGCAGCCAAGACAGGAGGAAGAGGCCCCCCCTCCGTGGGAGATATTTCGGGAGATCCCTCGCGGAACCTCTGCACTAAACCATTGGCAGTCTCCCGGCAGTAAACCTCCAGAGCCTGAGGCAGATGCAGAATCAACAGTAGAAGCAGCAGTAGAATCAGTAGAAGCAGCAGCAGTAGAGGCAGAAGTAGCAGAGGCAGAAGTAGCAGAAGCAGAAGTAGCAGCAGAAGAGGCATCAGCAGTAGAATCAGCAGAAGCAGCAGGAGTAGAATCAGCAGAAGAAGCAGCAGTAGAATCAGTAGAAGCAGCAGCAGTAGAGGCATTAGCAGTAGAGGCATCAGCAGTAGAAGCATCAGCAGTAGAGGAAGTAGAGGCATCAGCAGTAGAGGCATCAGCAGTAGAGGCATCAGCAGTAGAGGCATCAGCAGTAGAGGCAGTAGAATTAGCAGCCGTAGAAGCAGTAGAAGTAGCAGTCGGAACGGCTGCAAAGCAGACTTGTCCCACGGCTCCTCCTCCTGCTCGTGCTGACTTTGAGGCGCATTCCCAGTTCGCGTTTCAGTCGCAAGTGGTGACGGAAATTCCGTGTCACACCCCTTGCAACCCTCAAACCCGCATGCATGGATATAGATATGTATACATGTATGGCCTTACCGACGTGGTGTTTGCGTGGTTCGTTTTTTTTGCCCATGTTGCAAAGGGGGAAGGGCGGAGGCTCCGGCTGCGTCTGCTGTTCTTGCGAAAGATTGCCGCTGCTGTTTGCTGCCGATTCTGTTAGCGGGAGCACTGAGCCTGTGCTGCGCAGAGCGTCCAGCAGCTTGGTGCGGCTGCTGCGACGGTCTTCACGCGGCCTGAAGGGCGAGTAAACCCTGCTGCTGCTGCTGCTGCTGCTGCTGTACACCTCGCTGGCGCAGTAGTTGCTGACAGAAGCGCTGTCACAGCTGCTCAGTTCTGCGGGCATGTCTGCGGCTGCTGTGGGAGCCGCTTGAAGCCTCTGCCCCCCCCTAGGATTTGCGATCAAGTGGTAACTTCTAGGGGCGGAGGGGGGGGGGGCGGCATGGGCTACCCCGTTGACAGTTGGGGACATGTCGGTGCTGCCCGCTTCGGAGAGGGCGGAGCTGCCGCAAATGAATGCGTGGTGCTGCTGCTGCCGTTTTCGGAATGCGGCGGCTTGCTGCTTTTGACCCAAGTACTGCTGCGTAGCTGCAGAACTAGCCAAAGAAACTACTGATAAGGTGTCTGTTCTGTCCACTGGGAGCCGGGGGTCCTCCACAGGGGCATATGGGTAGCCGTAGCGTGGCGGCAGTTGCTGGGGAGGAGAGAGTGGCTGGCGTTGAAACTCGTGGTGTGCATGCGGGGGGACGGTGAGGTCGTCACGAGGGAGAAGGGGCGCCCTTCCTTCGTCAATCCTAGAGGGAGAGTGATCTTCGCTGCAGTTGTTTACGTAGTGGTGAGGAGCATTCGCCGAATGGGGGCGGGGGGTCTCAGGGGCGTTTGAAAGATCTGATGGATAGTTGTAGCAGCTACTGCTGCTGCTGCTGCACTGGGGCAGCTGCTCGTGCGAAACCTCCATGGCACCTGGGAGAGCCTCTAGAGCGTCCAGACGCCCCGGAGTTTTATCCCTGGGGGAAAATGCTGCACCCTGTGGGACCCTTAACTTTGGCAGCACCGCAGGGAGAGCCGCTGCGTGGATATCCATGGTGGCTAGCTGGCGCGCTCAAGTGGGGGATTAAAAGGGGAGAATGGGCCTCCAGATCAGAAGGCAGCTGATCTTACATGTGTATGAGAAGTACAATGAGAGAAAGAGGCACAGACAAGCAGCTGAGAGAGGCGCGGGTTTCTCTGTGCCCCTAGGGCCCTTGATGTGTACATACGCCTCAGGGAAAGCCACCGACAGTCGACAGGACAAATCTAGTCTACGCGACAAAAGGAAAATAAAGCAAAAGGAATCAACAGACAAAATCGCTTCAAGAGAAAGGGGCGAAGAAAGGAGGATGTCGCAGTCGCAGCCGCTAGCGCCGCTACTGCTGAGGCGGTTAGAGCAGTGGAGTGGTAGAGTGCTGCCGCAGAAATTGCTTATCTTTGCCTCATTTCGTATCAAATCAATGAAATGCGCATAAATGATTCAAAGGAAATTCAATATAGAATACAAGCCATTTCAACTGAGAGGAGCTTCCCCTCGTGGTACTGCTGCAGTGCTGGCTGGGACTATTGCAGATACCTCTGAGGCCCCTTGGGTATTTAGCGCTTCAACTTGCCCTTCCTTGAGAGCGTTGAGTTTGTTTTTGTCATACTTATGCTTTCAAGGATCTGTGTCACGTCTCATGTGCAAAACCCAACTTCCACTGGGTAGGCATCATACAACACCAAAGGCACCTGCAGCAGTTCTGGAGCTCTCCTTTCGTCTTCCCTCCGCCCAGAATATACAGCTGAATTTTCGAGCCGTGTGTAGGGCCTTCAAAGATTCTTGGGACCCCCTAAAAGTCTAGGGGGAGGCAGAAGAAACCACCGCTCTGAAGTGCAATGTCGTGTTTCGCATACTCATTTCGAGCGCCGCCAACAACTGTGGCCCTGAGGGCGCAGATTTGGCGCATTAACAATTCTTTGCAGCTCCTTGAGCGCGCGCCTCCTTTTCTACACGCATTCAGCCGTAGGTAGTTACAGCTAGTCAAGGTTACACGTTGTACGTCTAGCTCTTCACACCTAGGCAAGCGATAAATACATGTCAATCTGAAATAAGGGGATTTCTGGGAGGCTCGTTTGAGATCTGAGCAATAGATTGCCCCAGCGATCGGCTTAGAGAAAAAAAGGCTCTTCCCCTAATGCAAAGGCTGATCCGTCTCTTGGGAAGCCTGGTAGTAAGAAGCTGATGTGCAGGTAACATTAGGGAAATCTGTTAATTTAAGGGGGCACTTTAAAGACTCTACACGAGCCACCCGAGAGATTCAGAAGCCCTCGAAAGTACACTCCGAGTCCGAATTTTCCACCACACGGAGCCCCTCCGCAGAGAGGCTACCCTTCGCGCGTAACTGTTCGGATGCTGCAGAGGGATGAGGCGTCCACTGCATGGTGCTGCAAATAAGAGTGGTGTTGCTACACTGGCTGCTGCTTTTGCTGCTGCAGTTTGAGGGTGTTGTTCAGATGGGTAGAGAGAGCAGCTGCAGGGTCCTCCCTGAATGCCCCCAGGGCCAAAACGGCTGAATACTGCCTCAGTTCCCGTTGCAGTGCCAGCGCCCTCTTCTTGTTGCTCAGCTTCTTTGGATTCGAACTAAAAGAGGCTGTGCAGGGGCCCCCTGAGCCCTCCCGAAGGGCCTCCCCCACGAGGTTCATGGTGTCTAAAGCAGACGGATTTTCGCCTTCCGCCGCGGCCCCGCGTTGCTGCAACAACGCCTCCGCATAGACACCAAAATTGCGTCTTCTCTCTGCCGCTTCCCGCTTCCCAAGTCGCTTTCTCTGGCCCCTCGAGAGGCTGCGTATTTCCTTGCTGAGAAGCTCGACCACTTTTTCGGGGGCGGAGACACGAGGCTCTCCGTGGGATGCCCCTGAGGCTTTTTCCCCCCCTCGGGGGGGGCCTTGGGAGTCTGCTGCTGCGGCTTGATCGGCTGCTTCTGAAGACCTCAGAGCGACAGAAGGCTCAGGAGACACCTGGAGGGGGCCCTTTGGGGGGGCCCCATAGGGCCCCGTCGCTGGGGCTCTCGCGGGGTAAGGAGAGGAGCCTCTCAAAACTCCCTCAGGCGTAGAAGACGCGCTGTAGGCACCCAGAGCCGGGGCCTTTTGGTGGTAAGTTGTTCGCTTGCGTCTGATGGGAGGCATCGGCTTGCATGCAGAGTTTGGGGTGTCGGGTTAGAAGGCCGCCTCGAAAGTCGCAGGAGTCGAGAGACTTACGGCCTTTCGTCTATGCCATGGCAGCCGCAAGCAGCACGAAAATGTACGTTCTGCTCTCGAATGGGGAACTGCCGTTAGCAGAGACGGTTCAAAGGGCCCCCCGAACAACTGTGGGGCCCCTGCCTTTCAAAACTCCCGACGCTGACCTTCTGCCCCTCTGAGTGCTCCTTCTTCCATTCGACTGCTCGTAATATCATATGAAACGAACAAAGCATGGCTTTGGAAGCTCAGATCAAGAGTAACTGCGACAACTCGGGGCCCCCGGCAGAGTGAGGTAGCCACGTTGGGGGCCCCTGTTGGGGGCCCCCAACAGGGGCCTCGCCTTCGGGGGACCTAAGTACAGAACGCCTGATTACAGACTTCCTGGTCAGACCCTATACCTATTTTCTCGACATTTGTCTGCTCAACTGAATACATTCAGCGGCAGTGACCACCGGTCCACACTGCCCGCCTTCATCAACTACCCAGAAGCGCTACAGCTACTGTATTGGAAGCAGACGAATCAGGCTCCTTGAGCGCTCATCACAGCACATGCATCCTTTCCAAATCTTAACGCTCTGCCCCCTCTCATCTATAAACGCCGCAGTTCACAGCCAAGGAAAAAGGGACCCCCTCCATCTGGACTAGCCCAAACACAGAGGGCGAACCGGATCTCCCTAACCAAAACTGCGTTAGAAGTCGCCGCAGGAGCCTCCTAAGCGTCCCTGGAGAAGGCATGGACATTGCAATGCCTTGGCTGCTTTCCACGCATTTCGAAAGCAGAAGGAACGCGCGCCAGAAAAGCCCCAAGACTCCAATCCCCGCCTGTCTCCGCGTCAGCCCCTGGCTAGCATGCTAGCTCGACATATGGCTGACTGGATACCAGCGAGGCTGAGAAGCCAACATATTTAGAACTCTAAACACCCAGCAGAAGAGCTGAGGGAGTGCCGATAAACCGTGTCAGCCTGCCATCTAACGAGCCGGCTGGCTAGCTTCCTAGTTCGCCACATACAAAAAAGCCATGTAGCGCGCTCAATCGGCACTGAAGTAGCGAGGCAAGATGATGCTGCCTTTCAATTCTCGGATCTCTTTAGGTCAGCTGCGGAGGCCGCTTCACTAGTTGGCGTCTGCGCATAATTCACCAACCCCATGCCGTCACCGCCATCCTACGCGCTAGGCCCTACCCTTCAAACCCAAAGCGAAAATAGCGAGGCTTATCTAAGGCCCTTTAAGCCAAATGATCGACGAGCGAGAACCCCTCAGCCCGAGCTCTCTAGCGAGAGAGCAAGGCGACCAGGGCCAGCCAGCCAAACGAAGACACAAAGCGAGGCACAGAAAGGAAATGGGCTACCCCACCTGTTCCTTCCTGCAGATGTAAATGTAGTGAACGTTTGATTTCTCCTCCACTTCAGCTGCACAACACAATTCCTCAAGACCCCCCAAAAGCCAATCCAACTCAAAACCTTCGAGCCCATAAACCCTCACAACGGACTCAGGGAGGCCATTTTACCCGGTGTATTGAGGGACGGCTTCTCCAAGGTTTGGAGCTCGACAGTCCATCCGAATTCTGCCTTTTGCAAGTGATTCAAACGGAACATGGGTGCGCCGTAAGACACCATCAGGTACACCCCGCCAGGCCTGCACAGCCACCGTAAAAGCCTCAGCCCGAAGTCACATCGATCCCCCCCTCTACGCGACAAATGGAAATACCCAGTAGTACCTCCAACATCCTGCGTCACAGAAGCGCGGCCTAACGCCTGTGACGACGTGGATTTAAAGGATTAGACGAAGGGCCCGAGGGCTGCTGCGATTTCAGCGTTTACTTGAGGGTCTGCGAGATGTGGGCAAGAGCCTTGTGAACATTCTCAAATGATTTCTCCCCACACTGTAGCGACAGCAACAGCAAAAATGAGATCGAAAGCCGCTGCACCACCATGGCAAACATGTACACGGCAGCAGCTCAGGTGTTTCAGAAGGTTCAGCCCTTTCTGAATCTCAGTACTCTTCCACGCTCCAGTTCAAATTCTCCTGTGCGTCTCGGAGTTCGCGTGGCTTACGAGAATGCAGTCAAGGGTGCCCTTGTCAACGATGAGATCGAAGGACGATTGACCTTCCAGCTCATTAAGATCCAAGACGTTCAAAACTTGAACTGCGCAACAATAAAAAGCTTGCCAAAAGCCCCATGGCGACCGTTTCTTGATGTCACTGCTTCTGAAAGCAGTGCCTGAGGTAGAGGAGCAATTGCAACATTTGCTACAAGTGCAACAATAGGCGAAGGGCCATCGTACAGGTCATTCCTGCTTTGTCTGCGCATCTCTTCTGCATGAGGCTGATGCACTGCGGGGAAAAATCAATGTTTGTAATGTTCCTGTAGCCGTCATCCCACATGCTTTCGCTCATTGCTGCGCCCCCCCCCCACCCCCCAATAAACACACACACACCGCATCGTTCCATTTGGAGGAAGAAAGGCTCAAGCAGACACGTGCCGAACAGAAACTGAGCCTGCAGTGCAGCGGCGGGAGGAACAGGAGGTGCATGCATGTGCCTTCTCTCAGCACCCTCCCCCACCGAGCCAACCAGGGGGCCTCACTTGAAGTGCCGCATCCCAGCATAAGGACGCTACTGTCTTCATTCAAGCCCGCGGCGAGCAGAAAAGGTTTCAGCGCGGCATATTTGTTAAACCAGTCAAACGGTTCTGGATCTCTACACAAACCCGAAGCGCAAACTTACAAGCGAAAAAACCTGAACGTGTCTGAATCGACGCACAGCTATATACGGGGCCCCTCTATATACGACACCCTAAAAGGCAGGAAACGGCAGTACACATGCCAAGCTAACGCATGCCAAGCTAGTCCCAATGAGGGATCCAGATACACATTCTAGCCCTAAATCGCTGCAGACGTACTTCTTGTACCTCTCCTCCCAATGATCAAGGCATGCATACTGCGGTCGGCCAGAGTGGAAACACACGCACACGCATATTGACACACACATACACTCATGACTCTAACCCAGAATGCCGCTGCTGGGTGCCGAACAGACAGAGACATCGGAGCGAAGGTAGCCGCCCTCCCCTCAGTCTCGCAATGAAGCGTCTGCGGTGTCCAGCAGCCAGGAAGGTGTGCTGAGGCGCCTTGGGGAGATCTCCATCCCCTTGGAAATTCATATGATTCATTATATAGCGTGAGATTTCAGGGTGCGACTCACGCGGGTCATTTTCGGCAAGCGCCAACCGAGTCAGCGGGTGGCTTCAGTGCGTGAAACCCTTAACCCCAAGTCGACAGTTCAGCAAGCGACATGTCAGGGGGCGCACTCCGAACCTGCACCCCGTAACGGCAAGCGCTTGAGCCCCTTCCAGTGTCTGGGGAGGAAAACCGACCGATAAATCCGCGAACGCTTCCCGTGAAGTCGGTTTGGAGCGTCAGAAAAGTCCAGCAAGACAAGCCGCAACGGATGGCGCTCTCAGCAAGCGCTAAACCCTAAACTCTAAAAAGAAAAATGAATGTGTTCACTTTCTTGATCTATCAACCCGGCAATCCCTGACCGAGACCAGCTTGCACCTAAAGCACCGGGGCCCCCCTCCCGAAACCACAGAAACCGCGTCACGCACCCCCGATCGCACTGTCCTTGCATTTGTTGCTGTCAAATTACTTTTTATTTCCTGATCTACCTCCACATTCCAGCGAGGACGTTTGGTGGCCTCTTCTGTTCATCCACTGAACCCAAACACATAGCCCTCGAACCATAGAAAGCACAGCGACACCGCTACGAATTGACACATGCGGAGCTAAATGGCTGCTGCCGACAGGTTCGATTGCTGCTACAGCATTCCGCGATGTGCATCTTCCTTTTTGCGAAGTTGCATGACTTTGGCCTCACAGGATCTGCAGAGCGCTTAAGGCTCGACTTCGGTGCTTTCGCCCGCACCATTTGTACTTGACTTTAGCAAACAGGTAACTTATCGATTTGTCTGCTCACACGCGCTATGGGCTACAGAGTTGACCTGGCTGAATACTATAAACGTCAACGCTTTGTGCGTATGCGTTCATGGTTTCATGCAAACGCGGGTGAACGCATACTCGGGGTGCTTATAGGTCCAGCAACGCGCATCCTAGCTTTGTCCCTCTCCCGATACCAAAACCCTGTGGGGCGGAGAAAGGGAGATAGGCGATGGATCTCTACAAGGAGGGGCATCTCAGGACCTTCGATTGAGCTCTTGTCTGGGTTGCGAGCGAAAACTGCCTCCCTACTACGCAAGCCGGAGTAGTGGATGGCGCTTATTGTTGCAAAGGCACTGCCTCTATAGAGTTCAGCCACACTTCTTTGTAACACTCTATCTAAGGTCTGATTCCGTGCAAAGTGTTTTCCAGAAGAGCTCTTTTCCTATGAGAGTTTCGGCACTAGGAGAGAGAGGGTAGGGGGTGCGCGTAGCTTAGGCCCCCCGTCTTTCCGAGCATTCACGGCTAGTTGGGCATAGCATCTAGCACACAAGGTGTATCTTCTTGTGTCCGGCTGCCGAGACTTTGGAAGCAGCGAAGCATGTGAAGAAGAGAAATCAGTAGTTGATTTCTTCTCCCCTAGTTGACTGTATTAGTACAGCCGAATGCTGAAGTGTAGCTTAGCCCGCTATGGACACTAGAGGTCTAGCCCTTATATGAACCCTGAAATCTCGCTTTACGTCGAGATAAGCAAAATCAGAAGCCTTCGGAGACCGGAGAAAGCTGAAGCAGGGACTTCTAGCAACACACCATTGGATGGAAAATTATGAAGCCATAAACCGGTGTATGCCAATGAACATACAGTTGCAAAGCCTTCACAGAGAGATGCTTAAAATGGTGGCTGCGTGGTATTTGGGGACGCGTTTAAGAATCCAATGCTCAGAGTGCGTTTCACAAGCTTCAGCATGGTTTGTAAGCCGCTCAGGAGGCTGAGAGGGTGCGTTGAGAACTGGTGAACCACAGCTTCAAGAGCTGCCTCAACGCTGAGGCTCTGTGGTGCTCGTAAGCATTCGAAGAACAGGGGGTCTTCAACGGGGTTGAGGCCGTCGAGCACTGTGCGCCTGTCTACAGAAAGGTCGAAGAGAGGCAGGTGACAGACCGCTGGGAACGGTGTTTTTTGGAAGTTTCTGTAATGAGCTACCAACTAGAGCAACGCACTACGACTGCATTTCGCAGTTCACACGGTCAACATGAGCCACCAGTTTCCTGTTGTTTAAGTAGCGGCAGCGCTGTTTGTTGCGGCATACGTGAGGCCTAGAAGTGGCGTCCGTTCCACTGTATAGTGCTGCATTGACTTCTGACCTTGCCACCTCCGCTGCTCCTTAGCAGGGCTGGATAACTACCCTCCTACTCCTTTCAACTATTGGTTCAGCGTGCTCGCTGACTCTTGCTCTGCGAGCCTCTGCTGCTGTCTCTTTGGAGTCTGAGCTGAGCAGCAAGCCGCACAGGCGGCCATCTTAGCGTGTAGCTAGCCATCGCTGCTCCCGCGCAGGCGGAAAGGTCGACCCCCTTGGTTGTTTCGCCTGCTTTCTGTTCCTAAAGGCTGTGACACTACTCGCTACAGTCGGTTCGAATGCTCGAGAGCAAGCTGCAGAGCCTCTCAGCTTGCAAACTGATCGCCCCAACGCAGCCACTCCTCAAATCAAGAATCCCCCTACATCGACGCGCCAGAGGCCACAAAGCATCAAAAGGTTTCTGGCTTCGGGTGTAAGAAAGCCTACACTAAACCAGCAAAAAGCAGCAAGAGAAAGAGGCCTCAGTCGCCTGATTCCACCTGCTGCGAATGCCTGTGACAAGCTGCTCCTTTCCTCCCTCCTTTTTCTGCTCGCCACTCCTGCCGTCAACACGAGTCCTCTCCGTTTTGCTGCTGCTGCCGCTGCTGCTGCCTCATGAGCTTGAACTTAGAAGGGGGTCTCTTGTGCGACACTTCGTCTTGCGGCGCAAAGCGCTGCTCAGGCTCCTGAACACCCCCGACTTTCCTTTCAGTGATGGTATCCTTGATGCCGCCTACCCAACGATCACTGGTGCTGCTGCTGCTGCCGCTGCTGCTCCCCGCAGCCACTGGCCTTGTATGTGGCGCAGATGCTGATTCTACGCGTTGCTGCGTCTGTTGCTGCACCCGCTCGCGCATGTCGGCAGCAGCAGGTGCAGTGACAGCAGCAGATGAAGTGTCAGCAGCAGGTGCAACGCCTGAGGAGGGCTTCGGCGGAAGGAATGTCAACAAGTCGCCTTCCGTCGCTCCTTCCGGTAGCGCCTCCCTGATCTCCAAGAACCCTTCCGGAGTCAGTTGAATTGTGCCTGCTCCTGGCCCTGCGTCTTGGTCTGTTGCTGCTGTTGCTGCTGCTGCTGCTGCTGCTGATAGCCTCCGCGAGGAGGCTTCTGCTTCCTTCCAGAGAGGATCGCCTGCTTCGCCAAGCAACAGACGCGTTGCCGCCACGTCCTTTTCGACCCGCTGCAGCTGCTGCTGCAGAAGCCGCTGCCGTCGCTGCAGCACGCCTAGGCATCCAGCGGCAGGAGTGAGCGGCGGATCCTCCGACTCTGCTGCTTTGGCGGAGGGGGGGCCCTTCGTGTCGTCTGGCGAATCTGCAGCGCTCTCTGCAGCAGGAGCGTCAGCAACAGCTCCAGGTTTCAGCATGGCGAGATAATCAGAACCCAAGTGAAGAATAGGAGCTCCAGAAGGCAGCAATTCGGCCCGCAAAAGCGCCTGGGAGGTCAAAGGCACCATGCAAGGATCGCACATCCTGAAGTTTCTGCTGCTGCTACTACTGCTCTTATTACTGCTACTGCCGCTGCTACTATTGCTACTGCTACTGCTGTTGCAATTACTACTATTTTTTTTGCTGCTGCCAAGTGCGATCGACATGCCGCCTCCCGAAGTTGCTGCTGCACGGCCACTACTGAGCCCCTCGATGCCATGCTGTAAGAAGAGTACGGCATCCTGTAGCCAAAAAAACAGCGCAACAGCAACAGACATGCACAAATGCAGCAGCGGGGGTCCTTGTAGAGTTCAGCGGGTGCCGCGGGGTGCGCCTTAGACTTCCTGGTGTTTATCGCGAGCTGAAGCCGTTCGCGTGAAGGCTCAAAGCCCCTATCAAATCTCCTCCCTCTTCGACCCCGTTTCTTGCACCGTATTAGAGCCTCGAAAAATTCTCACCCTCAGGACTTGCAGGTGACTGACAAGCTCGAGCTTGGCATTTTGCTGCTTCTCTAGCTGGCGCTGTGCTTGCAGCTGCGCCATCTTTCGTCGGCGACAACGAGGTCGGGCGAAGGGGCCCCCAGGGTAAAAATCGGCTGCCTGGGGGGCCTCCCAGCACTCCGGCTGTTGCCGCGGGAAGGCAATGCGTAAGCCAAGGAAGCAGAGGCACAAACTGAGCACAGCAGGTGAATGGGCAAGGCAAACGCGATAAAACCACGAAGGGTGTGCAGGGTCAAGAGCTCAATCGAACGGGATTATGGTCGCCTCGAAAAAAGACCAAAGCCTCGTTCAAACGAAGCTTCCATGAAAGAAGAGTTTTGAATTGTCGTACTGCATTTGCTTGGAGGGAGGGGGCCCTCTCTCTACGTGCAGAGAAAGGGATGCATTCCTCACGAAGGGGCCCCCTCCCCTTGCGACTGGGGAGGGGGGCCCCCACAGGAAGGGCCCCGCCGACCTTCGTTGGGGTTCGCTGGAGAAGCCGTGCGGGTTCGACTTTGTGAATTTAATAGCTTCTCCTTTGTGGCAATCGCCTCGCCGAGCAGCACTTGTGAAGCGCGATTCCGCGTATCTCGGGTAGACAGAGACCCCTCTCGAGCAAGGCGTTTGAATGAAGTCCTCTAAAGAGTCGAAGGTGCACACGTACCGCGGAACAGACGGCAGCAACAACAAAAACGGCGACTGTCGCGTTGTCGGTGGCTCCAGCAACAGGAGGCTCGACAGTATTTCCTCATGGGCAAAGGAGGCGCTTTCTCCGAGGCTGCAGGAGCTTCCCGTACGGCAGCAGCTGCGACTGCCGCTGCTGCCGCCTTCTCATGCCTCTTTCTCAGTGTCTGCACAGCATAGGATCTCAGGATGCTTATAGGCCTCCGCTGGGGCCCTCGGAGGGGCCTCCTTCCGGTGCAGGGGCCCCTGCGAGGGCCCCCCGCCGTGCCAAGCCGCAGCCATAAAGCCTTGCTCCATGCTGCCGTAAGAGCACTTTCCAGCACTCCTCACCAGCAGAGTCACTCAGAGCAGCAAACTCCCGCTCAGGAGCATCCAGAGAGGGCTGGGGAGGATCGCACGTATCCTGAGAGGCGTCGAACGCGCCTAGCAAGCCTCCGCAGTCTGCCGCTGCCTCCTCGCAGTGTTGTCGCCTCCTTCCTCAAAAATGAGGCGCTTTCGCCGACGGAGGCTCCTCCTTTGCAGGGGCAGGGGCCCCCTGCAGGTTGTCAGACTTCATATGCAAGCCAAGAGCCCCCGAGGGGCCCCTCTGGGGGCCTTCCTGAGAGTCCAGGCCCGTGGGCATACGAAGCCTCATGGGGGGCCCCCGGGGGGCCCCAGTGGGATGTGCGGGCATCCGCTTTGCCTGCGGAAGGGAGAGCGATGCGCGTCGACGAGGTGTATCTACACCCGGCGTTGGTGGGGGCCCTTAAGGGTCTGGGGCTTTCGGCCTTGTCTGCGCCTCAGACCTGCGCGTTCTTCAACATTTCTTGGGGTCGAGACGTTTTGCTGCAGGAAGAAAGGCGAAAGGGGAAGACTCTGGGAGCGCTGCTTCCTGTGATCAACAGACTCTATGAGGCTCATGACCTTATCCAGCATGTGCAGCGAGAGCAGCGAGAGCAGCGGCAAGCAGGCGATGAAAGCCTTTGCCTTGCAGCCGTAAGAGGGGAGGGGGCAGCAAAAGCAAAGAGGCCCCTAGAGGGCATTGCAAGGGCCTTGATGCGGGCAGCAGTCGAAGGCGAGTGGCGTCATGCGTCTCTGCCACCTTTAGAGCTCTTGCAGCAGGACGAGCGACAGGCGCTGCGGCTGCAGCAGCAGCAGCAGCAGCAGCAGCAAGCTGAGGGCGGTGGAGCAGCAGCAACAGCAGCAGCAGCAAATCCGTTGGGAGTCCTTAGGCCGGCTGTTGTGTTGGTGCCTTCACAAGATGCTGTCATTTCCCTCCTGCACCTTCTGCAGCAGCTAGATCCCTTGGGTCGCATTGCCGTGCAGTGTCTCTCAGATGTTGGCACTGCTCAGCAGGAGGCAGAGCAGCAGCAGCAAAAAGAGGAGGAAGTGGATGCGCAGCAGCAGCAGCAAAAAAAGGAAGAAGTGGATGCGCAGCAGCAGCAGCAAAAAGAGGAAGAAGTGGATGTGCAGCAGCAGCAGCTTCAAGATATACCTGCAGACGCGTGGAGAACACTTGGCAACTCCTGGAGGCGTCTGGTGCTGAAAGACCCACACCACGCACAGCGCGTTGCAGCAGAAAAGGCTTTGCAGATGCAACAGCAACAACAGCTTCAAATGCAAGAGCAGCAGAAGCAGGAGCAAGAGAAGCAGGAGCAGGAGACGCAGGAGAAGCAGGAGAAGGAGCAGCAGCAGATTATGAGGGTTCCGCCAATCTATGGCTCCCGTATCCGGTTCGCTCTTGCTGCTGATGTTGTTGCAGATTCTTGTTGCTGTAGTCCATGTATTAGTGCTGTCACCCTTACCAGTGCATACACGAGGCAGCAGGAGCAGCAGCAAAAATGCTTGCTGCAACATCGAGCCATTGCATATCGATGCATCGACGCGCGTCCACGGCTGAACCCTGCAATCTCCTGTTCTTTCTGCGTTTGCATCCATCTGCTGCCTTCTATCTTCGTGCACCCTTTGTAGCTGCGTGTGTGTTTTAGGTGGGGTTGCGTTGACCTCATTTTGGCCACCCCAGCGGCATTCTGGGCTTCTTGGGGGCCCCTGGTCGGTGGCGGGGGCCCCTGTGTGGAGGGCCTTCCGATGGGGGCCCCCTTGCCTTCGTTGGTAATATGCGAGGAAATAGACATGTTGCTGCAACAGAATAAAACGAAGAACGCAATGCTGCAAATCTTGGGGGCACTCAGACCGAGGCCCCCCATCAATGCCCCCAATACTCAGAAGAAGAAGGTACTTTGCTGCTGGCGCTGTTGGTGTGTTTGCAATCATTTGGATTGAAGAAAGTGCAGCTCGATCGGCCGGTATATATATATAGGGGCTGGCAATGTTGTTTTGCGCTTATTTGGACTCAGGCGGGGGCTTTTCCTCCTACGCAGCTGGTGTTTATTGGATCGACTGTCTCTTTTGGGGGCCCTTGCAGCAGCGGTGTCTTGCTGCTTGAAAGGTTTAGCACTGCTGCTGCTGTCCACCCTTCCGCCACACCTGCAGTGCAACCCCAGCAGCCTCAGCGGCACCTGTGGCTGCGCCTTAATACCAGCAACATTAAGAGGGAGATGCAGAAGCAGTTCCCCGCGTGGAATGAAGACAAGAGGGAGCAACAGCTGCAGCAGCAGCTGCTCTTGGTTCGGCAGCAGCAGCAACACCAGCAGCAGCAACACCAGCAGCGCTCTGGCCAGCCCATTTCTAAACAAGCAAACCAGCGGCAACAGCAGCTACTGCATCAGCAGCAAGAAAAGCAGCAGGATATGTTGCTAGAGGCCATGAGCGACTTGGACCTGGAAAAGGATCGACAGCAGTTGCTGCGTGCTGCCGCCTTCAAGGAGAGGTTTAACGTGCTGCTGCTGCTGCTGCAGCAGGTTCCTACTCCACTAACAATCATTTTTTGCAACAGCAGCAGCTGCTGCAGAGATCTTGCGGCCCTGCTGCGACAACACAACTGGCCAGTCTCCTGCTACCACAAGCAACAGTCCATGCGCAGGCGTCTGGCTGCCGCTGCCGCTGCAAATGCAGCGGCAACGCCTGCTGCATTCGCAGCAAGCACACCGGCAGTGCCGCATGTAATCGTGGCCACAGATCTTTTAGCACGATCTGGACAAATACGCGGGGGAGCCCACGTCGTAAATTTTACATTTCCATCAGATGCAACGGCATTCATACACCGGGCGGCACTCGCTGCGGCATCACCGAGTACGTGCCTGTGCTGCTGCCAGGGGTGGCTTGCTGTTGTGTGCGTGTGTGTGTGTGTGTGTGTGTGTGTGTGTGTGTGTGTGTGTGCGTGTGTGATAACTTCAATTATGTTCTCCATTGTTGCTTCCATCTGCGAAGTCGGGGCATCTTCTATGTGGGCTGCAGGTGGTGCGCATGACGGCGAAGTAGGCGCGTCAGGAGGCCCCCTGATCACCCCCTTTACTGCGGGACTGGTTTCGAATATTGTTGGAGATGAAGACGTCGCTTTCGCATCTCAGATTTATCGCCTTACAGCGCAGCAGCAGCCTCTGCAGCAGCTCTTCTCGAGAAAGAGGTCCCTGAGGAAGAGATCCTCCAAGGTGCTGCTGCAGCAGCTTGAACGTGAGGAGCAGGAGGACGAGGGTCAGCAAAGCGTTGGAAGGAGCAAGAGGACTGTTAAGGAGGAGCAGGGCCCCTTTAAAGGAGGCCCCCTCTTTAGCAAAGTGCAGTGGGTGGGGAAGGGCGTTCATGGCTTCTTTGCTTCTCCTGCTGCTGCAACACCTGTTGCTTCCACTTCTGCAGGGGGGGTTAGTCAGCAGACACTTGCCTTCCTTAAGGATATGGAAGGGCGTGGAAGCAGCAGAAAGTCACCTGCTTCCGCAGTGGCTGCTGCTGCGAAGGCGCGTGCTGCAGCAGCAACAACTGCGGAAGTAGGGGCCAACCAGCAGCAGCAAGACGATCCGATCTCGTGGTGCTTTGATTCGGATGATGAAATTGAAGAGATGGGCAACAGCAAACCAGCGGGAGTAGTGGCGCCTCCTGTTGCTCTTGCTGGAGCAGGAGGCTCTCCCCGACAGTGGACTAAGGAGGACTACACACGGCTGGTTATTCAGCGCATGCGGCGTAGGGGGCCTTCCCTCTCGTGGCAGCAACAACAGCAGCAAAAGACAGCAGAAGTAAGGAGGACGAAAATGCTTCTTAGAAACTTCCAGGAGGAGGATTTATTTCCGGATGAGCTAAAACTGTAGATGCAAGGAGCCGCAAGCCAGCAGCGTGATACACAGCCGTTACAAAACGCACAAGTGTAACCGGTGATGCAGAGGCGGGCCCTTAAGCAACAGATTGCGGTGTATATATATATATGTATGGATGTCTTAAGCTTAGAAGGGTCCACGGGTTCAAAACGCTCCAACGGAATGCTCTCTAGGTATCCGTGTGTACCAGGGTCCATGTGTTGCTGAAGCGTTTCTGCTTTGTGGATGCTCAGTTTGCTGGTGTGTCTCCCCATGCTTCAGTCTCCCCCTCACTGTCTAGGCCCCCGTTTTCATTGCCCTTCGTCACTTGCTTTACCACCATATTGGCTAAAAAACAGGATGCGCCCTAAACTCCGCACTCTGAGTTTTTTACACTTGAGATGAGTCCCATATAGACGGCCTAGAGCCGCTCCTAGCCTTGCCTGTGCACCAAGCAGTAGTATGCGTGGAAGGTAGGTTGCGATACAGACTAGGATTCGAGGGGTAGGAGGAATTAGACGGCCATGTCCATTTTGATGGTTGCGTGAGGTGTATATCCAACGAGCTCGAAGCTATCCGCGGTGAAGTCTTCGATTTCCTAAATATTGCGCAACGAGCAGAAGGCACCAAAGTGGCACGTTTACATGCCGCATTCAGGGATCTTCTGCACTTGCCTAGCAAGTGCGCGGCATACATAGGTGGAACATAGAGGAGCCTGCATGCTTCTGTGGGTTCAGACGCCTCTCTACGCGTGCGCTTCGGCACGCGGGGTACCTAGAAAATGGCTGATAGAAGGCTTCCAGGGCGTGTATACCTGTGGTTCCCCCCTGATTTTCACGACAGGGAAGGGACGGGGTTCCCGTCTAATCTGCTCGATGAGGGCTTCTCTGTGGTTCAGATAAATATGTGTATTGCCGAGGCAGTGGACGAACTCTCCCGGCGTGAAGCCGCATATCTTGGCCAGCATGAGAGTCAGCAGAGAGTAGGAAGCGATGTTGAAAGGAACTCCAAGCCCTACGTCGCAGCTTCTCTGGTACATGAGGCAGGAGAGACTTCCATTCGAGACGTAAAACTGACTCAACAAGTGGCAGGGAGGCAGCGCCATCAAGTGAAGAGCTGCAGCAGCGACACCCTCGAAGCACACGACGCGTGCAAGGCGGGAATTTGCGGGCAGGGCTCCTCTCTCCAACGAGACATGAGGAGGCGGCTAGCGCTGCAATAAGTATGCACGCGTGAATTGGTACAAGACGTGGTCTCGAGGTGCCTGCTTTCCACCGTGTGTTGGCTGTGCCATCGGAAAGAACAGCACCAACAGCTTCGTGTGCGCCTTAAAAGGGCACATGCAAAGGCCCTTTATCGGAAAAACAAAACACAGAACCTTGCCTGAAGGGTTCCACGCAGAAATGATCATGCGGCGATCGTACGGGTTGGTCCTCAGTTTGTGGATAACCTCCTTCAGCTGATCCACCCCCTTGCCTGCATGCATTGCGCAAATGCGTGAGTTGTTGTTGAACCGTTTTCAAAGCTCCAGGGGAAACTCTGCGGACCTGTGAAGAGCTGGAGAGAAATTCCAGAGACAACCTGCCCTTGCCACAGACCCTTATCCTCGAGAGCTTCGCACTTTCTTCCCCTCACCCGTGTAATCCGCATGCATGTTGGAATATTCTGCGCCGAAGTGCCTCCATTGGAAGCCGTACACGGGCCCTTCACACACAAACCCAAAGCCCTAAGCGGCAAGCATCTCAGGAAGGAACAAAAACACACAGAGAGCTGCTGCTGTGGCATGCAGTGGCCTTCCAGGAATGATATTTAGGGGCTTATTTTGGCCCCTGCATGCTGGCGTCTGTCTACGCCGTACCAATGTCTCCCTGCTCCCTGTCTGTTAGCCCTCGGCTGTCCAGAAACTCGCGTGTTGCATTCAAATCCCATATCTGGAGCGTGACGCACACATATGCATACATATGCACACACATGCATGCACACATGCACACACACACACACACACACACACACACACACATATGCATACATTGCATACACACACATGCACACATATGCATACATTGCATACACACACATGCACACATATGCATACATATGCATACACACATATATGCACACATATGCACACATATGCATACATTGCATACACACACATGCACACATATGCATACATATGCATACACACACATGCACACATATGCATACATTGCATACACACACATGCACACATATGCATACATATGCATACACACATATATGCACACATATGCATACATTGCATACACACACATGCACACATATGCATACATTGCATACACACACATGCACACATATGCATACATTGCATACACACACATGCACACATATGCATACATTGCATACACACACATGCACACATATGCATACATATGCATACACACACATATGCATACATTGCATACACACACATGCACACATATGCATACATGCATACACACAGCCAACCCATCGAGTTTCGCAAGACACTTAGGGCTCGAAGAAAAGGGCCACACTAACTTATGACCCTAAATGGGTGCTCTAAAAAGAACTTTCCACAAATAATCGCGCAAATATGCGGAAACTCAGGCCCTGTGCGGTAGTAGCGAAGCGTCTGTCTTCGCGGCTTACTTTGACTCCCAGTTTGCTAAGGTTATTTGCGTTTGTGTCTCCGCGAATGAACCAGAGCAGCTCCTCTACCACCCTGCGCATGTGCACACTCCAATCCTCCGTTTGGAGATTCCAGAAACCTCGATCAAGGCAGGCGGACTGCCTCGCCTCGAAAGCAAACTATAGAAGCCGAGTAACTGGAAATTCAGGAGTGTGCGTGTCACCCTCTCCAGAAGACCCTTTTGGTGGTAAGCAGCGGAAACGTCTCCTTCAGCGAAAATCGCATGCACCGTCCGAACTGGGAAACAATGCCCACTCCTGAGGAGGCGAAGTCAGAAGCCACAGATCTGCCGTACACTCGACTACGAACAGCAGACGCCACAGGAGACACAGCAGCAGGCCGCCTCGCACTCCCAGCCACATCCGATGCAGATAACCAGCTGACTCCGATCCTACGTCGTCAGCCCCCGAACCTCGTTCAGCTATCGTCTGGAAAGTGGACGCTTGTCGTTGCACTGACCAGTCCTGTCCGGCTGCTCCGTTCCGTTGTTCAAGATGTCGGCAACCAACTCCAAGTACTGCAGCTCTTCATGCAGACGCCCCCTCAGATGAGGCAACACCCTCAAGGGTGGAGCCTTCGGGGGGGCTGCCACAGCTTCCCCCCGAGCCGCTTCCTTCGCTTCGAACACTTCCAAAGCCAATGCAGCACGGAAAGACGTCTGAGTGCAGCCGCAACGCAACACAGCGCCAGACACAAGGGCGGCAAACAGCAGACTCAGTGCCACACACACTCACATACATAGCAGCGACACAAGCAACAGGTGGAAGCCGTAGGTCAGTAGGAGAGACTCGAGGAGCACCGACGGCAGAAAAGAGACGCGACAGCAGTGGGGAGCTCTAACCTGCTGCTTTTCCTGCAGCAGCTGCTGCTGCTGGTCCACCTGCTTTTGCTGCCCTCGACAGTTCCTTATTCGTTCCATGATTACAAAATCAAAGGGAACTCCGCGATGTGCTTTCGACTTGCTGATGTAGCAAACCTCGAACCCGTCGGTACGAGAGCTCCACAGTCCCGAATCCGATCTGACGAGGCCAGCTCCCTCGAGTTGTTGCTGCGGCTGTTGGTGTAGTGACACTGCTTGAGAAGCCTCTTCCGGTGACGCTGGCGGCGATGTGGGGGGTCCAAAGGCGGGGAAAAACGTATCGCAGTTGAACGGGGTGGCGATGCGCGTGATGTACAAGAAAGACACCACGTCCAACGCCAGTGCAGCAGCGTAGACAGCTGAGCCCCCTGCAGATAGAAGCGATCTTTTACGGCAGATGCGCAAGTGTGCAGGAGAGAGGTAGAGAGGGGCAGCAGGCACAGGGTGTGTGAAGGGGTTAGTAGGGACCGGAGGACGGCGAAGACACGCGGATGCCCACGTGCCGAAGGGAGGCTAAGAACTAGCTGAGAGATTTCAGCAGTCGTGTTGTTGCGTCTTTACCTGCGATGAAGACATGGTGAAGCTGGTGCAGGAATTTCTGTTCCAACAGGAAAAGTGCAGCCGGCAAAGACGGCGAAACAAAGAGGAGGTTTGATGAAGAAGACACGTCTTCAGCTGCCTCCACACTGCCTGCCGCTGACGAAGTCAACAAGTCTTCAGCAGTCCTGTAGAAACGAGGAGAGGAAAAATGGATCGAGAGATGGGGGGGTCTCTTAAGGAGTGGCATCCAGCCAGCTGAATGAAAAGGGCGGACACTGTACAGACACCTCACGGGGGACGCGAGGTACTGGCAATCCTGCATGCCGTCAGGTATCCACTCGTAGTCTCCGAAATGATGAATTTTCGGTCTTACACGGAGGAAGAGATAACGATGTTTATTCTGCCCTTCAGAGGCCGCGCATTCGGTGGTAAGGATTCCCAGGTTCTTCGACCCATAATCACTGCGTTCAGCTTTGGGGTTGCTCCCGCCGGAGTCTTATCAGTTGCGGCTTCCTGCTCTCCCGTGAAGAGAGTAAGGTGGGAGAAGTGCCTGAAGTCCGGTGAAATGTGTGGCCAAGGAAGATCATTGTTGAATCCGATCCCTCTGTTAGCCGTCATTGCTACAACGATAGAAATGGGATATGAGAGGTGGAGGGAGCGGAGAAGGGAGGCGTCTTTTAGCAGAGTCGCCATGTCGAACCCAGGAACAGCAGGAGCATTGGCAAGGTCGGCAGCAGGGGAAAGATGCAAGGGGGTACTGAGGACGGCGGGTGCTTCGGAGGAAGGGGAGTGGAAATCACGGGAGGCCCTTGCTACCTTTGAAGCAGCAGGCAGGAAGCCGCGTTCTTGGGATACGATACCCGGGGCAGCCGGCATTGCGAAGAGAGGTGTAGAAAGTCGAAACAGCAAAGACACTCCGCCTGGGCGGCTGGAAGGCGTGGGGTGATAAGGGGGCAGGGCACTCAAGAGTGCAGTTTCCTGCTTTGAGCCTGATAGTGTTAAGAAGCAAGAAGATGAGAGCCGGATATGAAAGCGCAAAGCGAGTGTAGAAGGCGTTAGGCCCCCACGCATGAACATGGTGGTGGAGGCAGGATCACTGGGTGGTGAGCGTGGTCGGTCCTGTTGAGAAGAACAACCAGCCCCCAACCCCCATTCGTTTCCCTACGTTTAGAGGAGGTTATTCAGTTCTTCTAGCATAAACAAGTACAAAAGTTTGCACCTAGCGCGGACGCCAACCACCCACCATGCAGCAGCCACCACGATGGAAGGAGCGAGATGAAACGGATCCGCTACTCCCCATCGGAACACCGTAAGACAAGTGCGTTGTACACCTCCTTTAACGTAAGCAATTAATTATTTTCGGCATGCTGCATAACTACTGCAATCTACCTACGCAACTGCAGCATTTCCGGCGCTCGGCTCCCCAACGTGACAGCTATCCCCCGCAGCGGGGGTCCTCCTAAGAAGCTCAAGGGATACGAACTATGCCTAGTCAGGGAGCATGGCAAGTCAGAGTTACAGGATGCTCAACACTCCTTTACTCTCTACCTAATAGCACACTTAAACAATTCCTGTACCAACAGCGCAACTAGAAAAGCTGACTGCGGGCGCATGCGCACCCCCTCATCCACGCTTCACAGCAGATTCTGAACCGACGATAAGGCGCTCATTCAAGGTTGCACCCCATTTCAAAGAGGAACTACGTTTGAATCCTAAAAAGAATCCGGTAACCAGGAGCTAGAGAGCAACCGTATGGAGAAAACACTGCCTAGAACACGCACACAATTTTCGTTAGCAGCCGCGCGAACACGAACTGCTGATCAGAAATTCTGCTGTGGAGCCACCCTCTAGGGGCGGGCCTAGCCAATCACAGGCCGCTGAGTGCAATGCGCTGCTCATAGCTACGACAGGGTGATGCCGGAGCCACCCCGAGCGCCAGCCAAGTAAGTTTACCAGAACCTATCGAGACGTTATCCACCCTGGGTTGCCTCGAACGGCGAATAACTCGGCGCGTCCAGTTAGTCGTCCTGCCTCCTTCCAAAGTGAGCTTCGGATCTTTGAAATTGTTTTTTTTTAAAGGGCTTTTAAATCTTATCGAAAAATTCGATTAAGTTTTGAGAATTTTATGCTGGTTTTGGGGATCCCTTTTCGTGCTTTTGCGAGCAGTCACTTGCTTGGTGAGCCCGCCAACAAGTGCGTCCACTAGGCTGGCCGCCACCTCAAATCCTTTGTAAATTTTGGCCAAATAATTCCTGTTCATTAATTTCATCTAGATTCCAATTATTTTAGAGACACAGGAAGCGCTCTTCTCCCAGCTCTCTGTAAACGGACCATTCAGCACAGCACTCCGGCCCTGTCCATGGTGGAGCTGTCGCACGCGAAGACTATGGGCGTAAATTCCCCCATGCTCGCTTAACTACTAGGGTTTCTCTCTACATATCCTCCAGAAGCTTGTGATATGCATATTCATCAGAGGTGATCCTTCCATCTGCGTGCCACGTCACATGTGACGCCGAGTCGGTTTCCTGCTGTGGCGTGTCAACCTCCTACACAGTCAAAAGTCCAGTGTTTCGGACTTGAGTGGGTGTCATCCTAATCTGGAGCATCTAAGAACCTCAGTAAATGAGGGTTCAGTAAAGCGCCTTTTGTCCTCCAGCTGGGCTAACAGTGCTGGCGCCTGTCATACTGGAACACCCCAGTCAAAACAGGGGCCTAGAGGAGGCTCCTGCTGGGGATATAAAATGCTAGATTGTGCATTTGGGGAGGCACTCTCTGCCGAAGGCAGACGAGGACTGCAGAGGCCTTCTCCGTGGGGTCACCACAAGGGCAAACGGCTGTCACTACTGCGAAATCGGACTGCCTCAGGAGTTTTAACCTTCCCCGCCGCTGCTAGAATCAGCAGGGGTGAACGTAATCTCAAGACTGCAGAGTCAACGGAAGTCCGCTGCATTCATTCTCCAATCGTGCCGACTCCCTGTAGCTCGTTGCGTCCTGGCGTACACGTTCCTCTGGGTACCAAACAGACGGCTACGCTACCACACCCCAAGAAGCAACATCCGTTGGTACAAAGTGCATCACCGTTTCCTGTGCATTTCTCATATAAGTTTGTCAGACGGCTGCCACTGCTGGGGGTGGCGCTGTCCGTCTGCCTAGCCCTGTTTGCCTGTCTGTTTGGTTTCACTGTTCTCCTTTCCCATCTGTTGCAGCAGCTTTCAGATGTGAGGGTAGCAGAGCTTTCTGGCTCTCTCCACACTATCCGCTCCAATGATTTCCAGCTTGCGCCTCCTTCCTTTCCCTCGGAAACGCGCTTCGTGACGCCGACAGACCCTCAGCAGTTTGGTGGTGAATCAATCGCACCCTTCGTTTTTCAATCACGAAGAGCAGAAGACTCTCCAGAAGCTTTCGGAGCTCCTCGCAGACGGCTGGAAAACATTGTGAGCATTGGACGTCCCGATGGAGATACCGGCTTCGATGCACAGAAAATGTGGGTAGCCTTCAAAGGGGCCCCTCAGGATTACTTGTTGTTTGTGTGGTTTATAGTCAACATCTTCTTGGCTGGCTGTTTCTGCAGTTGGCTGTGCACCCAGAGGAGCTACCAGAAGGCTGTGATGGTGTCTCCTTGAACAAGTGTTACATGCAAACAGGCACAGACACGTAGGGAAGAGGAAGCGAGAGCAGCACTAGGATGCGCAACGGGAGAGTTGGAAAGGACAGATCTAAAGGAGAAATGGAGACTTCTAGAGCAGGCTCCCTCATGACCACAGCAAAGTGGCGGCTACTGACTTTTGTGGCTCTGTGGCACTGTAAAAGCAGCACCGGGCAGCTTGGCTGGCTGTCCGCAGTTCCAAGCACAATGAAGAGAAGCAGAAACACGAACGGCAGTTACGGCGTGTATATTTGTCTCCTTGCTTGCCTATCAGTGTCTGCATCTGTGACCATGTCTTTAAGTTTCTATATATTCACAGGCCTACCGTGAAATCCTAACTCAAACCAGAATTCCAACCTCAACATCCTAAGCCATCAATGCTTGAGGCAAGCATACCGAGCTGGCTGGGAGCTGCCTCCTTTCCTATGTAGTAACAAGTTTTGTGGAATGCAGGCTATGGGGGGTTCTGGCTCAAAGATCGACTCTTGATTGTTTGTGATCTGGTTCAGGATGGCCATACATGCGTCGTTTTTTTCAGTGTAATATGTTCGGAGAAATACAAACTCATTGTTGTTAATGCCCTGTTGTGATGCCAAATTTACTACGAATATGTTTTCTATTTTTCGCTTTACTTTAAGTAACGCCTTGGTAGATTAAAATTTGAGGCAGATCAAAGCCTTCATGCCACTTTTTGTCACCCCAAGTTCACGAGACTTGGATCTAATAGAACAGATCTTGGACATTGGACGAAGGCATTACGGCTTCAGGCAGTAAAAACTTAGAGAGAAACAAGAGCGCCGAAGTCACATTTTAAGCAATGAAAGCTCACATGTAATATCCAGTATCTGTACCTCAACAAGCAGTTATTATACAGTAGTCAATGTTGGTCAGCACGTTGTAAACCATCTGGTGTACAGCTTCTCCATTGCACACAGGCTCTTAAATCCTTGAATAATGAATTCTAGACTGATCAAATTATTCGGTGTGCCAGCCTTGTACCGCCACAATGGGAAAATTTGGGCAGTATGTAGTCCAGCAAGAAGCAAACACACTTTGCTGCCTTATTCTAGGGGCACAGGCCCCGTTGCTTTGCTGTATATTGGGCTCGGTTGTCAAAGTACCTGGACGCCACGGCTTATTCACTGAAAGCCGTAAGTCGGCTCTTATCCTGATATTTAAATCTTGAATTCCGCACCTTGATAATTTTCTTTCTTAGCCTCTCAGCCACTGAAGGCACTACGCGATCACTTATTGCACTGACAATAAAGAATTTGGAATTTGAGAGCTAAGCGATAGTGTATAGAGGTTCAACGCTGATGATCTCGGCTTTGCGAACCGAGGTTCAAATACAGCAGAGCCAAATCCCTAAAACTCAGCTGATTTCATGGTATTTGATAGAAAATCCACCTTGAAAACCCTAAACTGCTGTCAGTAGATCTTAGCACCAGTCTTGTGAGGGAAACCTCAAACCCTTTAGCCTCCTCATTCATCGAAGATAAATCACTAACCCATTTCAAAGGTGGGACTAGTGTACAATGCCCGAGAAGTTAGGGCTACCTGGTTAGTTCCTTGTGCTCCTGGATCTTGCCTTTGGTGGTTTCCTTTTGCTTGCTGCTGTCAATCATGGTAAACGGAACGACGATGGGAGTAGAAACAATGTTGTGGAAGAGCCCTTCTTTTTCACCGTGGCGTTTTTAGTTTCCGTTATGCATGCAGGTCGTGCTGCAACTGGCTTCCCGTCTATCTCGCATCGTAGTGTTTTCCTCGTTCTACGTTGGTTGCAGGTATCAGAACCGTAAAAGCCACCCCGTTTATTGCCACTTTCCCCCATGAGACGCAGCTCCTTACATGAAGTGACGGCTTATTCGTGCCGTTGCTTGCCCAGCCTTCGCACACTTTGCAGTACAAAAACGCATATTCGGAACGCCCGACGTTCCAACATGATTATGCTGTACGCCGATTGCCAGGATGCCATGTAGGTCTTTTTCTTAGGTCGGATCGTGCATTACCGTGCCATTCTTGACAGAATACAATACTAAAAGCAAAATTTGGTCGATGAGATATAGACACTGGGAAGCTGCAGTATTAGGACAACAATAATATGAGGGGATAGCATGAGCACTATCCGTGGCCATAGGCGACCTCAAATGTTGTTTTTCCTATTTGTACTGGATATTGGACCGCTTCCGTGCAAGTAAGCCACTTGCATTGAGAGTACTTTTGCACAACTAAGAGCTAGCTCTTCATTAACCTAGTTATTATATATATTCTATGTATTGGCAGATGAAGGCATGCAGCTATGTTGAAAAGCATACTCAATGAAAGATTAGAACAGTAATCAATAACAATGATACACAAGTATTGACCGAGGCAGTAATAATAGTATTGGTTGTGGAGTTCGCCAAGACCCTCGCTGCTTTAACCGCGACAGTCTCACCGTGTGCTGAAGAAAGCTCGATTGGCTTCACTGCCAGTAGAAGTGTAAATTCGTTCCCATCTTGTTTTACTAACCAAAGTGGGCTTTTTGCTAAAAGTGATAAGCTTCCACCACAATATTTCGAGATTAAGCACAATGCAGTCGTTTATGACGTTGGGCATACTTATGCCGCATCCTGTTGTGGGCAAGCACAGTAGTTTACTGAAAGAATCTGTGGTGTTTTCTTATTAGTTCAATTGCTGTACGCAGCTACCCGTTGTGCGCTCAGCTTACAGCACACTACACTCAAGATGTCCCTTTGCCCCTAAAACACACGATTTTGTGCTGGGAGAAACAAGAGAGCCTGGACAATTTCTGAGAAAAATAAGGGAGAAAGGTTTTTGAGAAAATCGAATTGCTTTTCGATGTGCAGCTTGTAATAGCACCGGCAGCCTCAGCGCTCCCAATTCTACTGCTCTTTTAGATGAAAGTCGGAGAAAAAAGCAGCACAAATAGCTGTCGACTTGTCTAGTGAGCAACTGCATCACTACGCACGATGTCTTCCCGGTTTCTGTGTCCGCATGATAGCAGCTCTACTAGCTATTTTTGCGCACATTCTGATTCTACTTGCTCTCTGTCGGTCCCAGCAATGCAAAACCTTATAGACTGACAATTTGCAATACCAAACATCAAGTTCTAAGCATTTGACAATAAAAAAGTCTGCTTTGCAAGGTTCATTCTTTATTTTTGTCGCTTCACATTGAAAGTTGCATCATAATTTATGCAAATGGGTTAGGACTTATCACCATGTTTAGCATGACATTCATATGCACTTGCGTGGATTATCTTGGTGGCTGCGAGGCTGCACTCTAAGAGACTTCGCTTCGTG